CATTGTGTTCTTGTGACATGCTGCAAGTAACAAAGTGGCCAAATGTTTATTATGTATAGACACAATACCAGTTCATCCCTTGAACCAATATGCCGTTTTATACTTGAACAGTCAGTGTTAAGTGTCTAAACAAACAAAGAAAAACAAATTACTCTGAAAATGATCAGGTGCAAAGACTGGACTAAAAATGAGTGAAAAAGCTGTTGATGTACAAAGAAAAGAGGCCTTAGAAAGCCTGGACAACTTTTACTTTGAAACTTAAATTGTGAAAAACTCCAGCTCCTTGGAAGCAAAATATGAAGAAATGTAGGGTGGCTCAAGACTTTTGCGCATCACTGTAATAAAGAAGAGAAAACCCCCCCAGATATTTTTAAGGAAGATTAAGTTGTATTGAGTTACTTTCAACTGAGCTATTTCAAATTGAAACTAAACTGTTTTGGAAGGCCTCAAACAACCTCCAGCGCACAGCACTTACTTCAATGGAGTAAAACATACCAGCCGAATTCAGATTGACTTCTTATTATTTGCTGTTTTTGAATGAGAACAGGATGACTGCTTACTCATTTCTTCAGCTACAGGTTTTTTTCAGAAGAAACCTGAAGTCAGCAAGTTAATAATTATGATACCAAGCTCATCCTCATGATGTGATTACTGTGCTTCCTCAAGAGCTTGCTCAACAGTATTAGGAGGATGTATTCACTTGTATGGAAAGGCCAGAGGAAGGTCATCTGTGACGTGTATGTAGAAGAGCAACTCTGGGCTCTTAAAGTTGCACTTGAGATTTCTACTCCAGTATCACAAAACTAGACAAGGGAAGAATAGCATTTGTTTTACCCTAAGAGACTGCAGACATGAATTTTACTGCTCCCTGGTGTGAAAAAATTGAAAGTGAGGTATGTTGTGAGTGTTATCAAAATCCCGAGGTTAGTGTAGGCATAGCTCCTCTTCTCCAGGAATAACAATGAACTCTCCTCCATGAAAAGGAGTTAATAATGACCTTCACAAAGCACCTAACTTAATAAACTCACTATACACCAGCTGCTCTTAGTAGATCACTTTGTCTCCAGGGAAAGAACTAAGTTGATAATTTTGCCCAGGAGTTCATCCCCATCTATGATGCTTTTACCTGGGTGAAAAACAAACAGAGCCTCAATTAGTAGAGAAAAAACATCAATAAAAAAAATTGAATCGTACACTGTCGGCTGACTCGTCTTGAATCTGAAGGACGTCTCTTCCCAGGTTGCACAGCTTGGGCAAAAACTAAATAAATCAGGTGAAATTCACAGTCATGGGATGACACAGTGGATGGGAATGGACCTCCCGTGCATTGTGACAGATGTTTCCCCAGTCTGACACATCTATGACAGGAACAATTCCCTCTTTGAACTGATATGTCAACAGTGCAAAAATCCCCAGCAGGATGTCAACAAATGTCAGTAAGTAGGCTAAAAGCACCAATAAGGCTAAATAATGGCAGTAAACTAATAATGTATCACTTTAAATATTGATTCCAATCTATAGGCACGCCCATGTGACAAACGTTTTAGCACCAATTGCCTGTAACTGTAGTAATGGAAATATGCATCTATACCTACACACTAAAACTTGAACTTGGCCACATTAATCATTTCTTTATATTTCACAACAGTTTTTTTCTCTCTTTGCATGGAGCAGCACTTTTATGATGCTTTCATCACAACAAGATAGAGAGTACAAAGTCCCCACTTTACACTGCAAGAGCTGTTCAGAAAAAAACTAGTTGCACTTGAGAGTTATGTTTCTATAATTAGTGAACTTCTCCAAGGGGTGTATGAAGCCTCAGTCCCTTCTCTAAAGACAGCACCAGGTCAGCAAAAGGTAAGGTACTAATTACAGGCTCCATAGTTTCGGTGAACTTTGTGAGCTAGTCCAGAGTGGTGTTTTACTGAAGCTGCCTATAGGTCAAGGTGATGCACAAAACCAACCTTGTTTAAATGTGCCTGATTTCGTGCTCTTGGCAATATTGGAAATGGGTAGATTTTAAGCAATTGATGATTTTCCATGCTTATCTGGTGATTCAGCACACCCACATGTGGTTCTTTAAGTAGCTAGCTATTTAAAGATAATGAAATTAAGTTGCCACTGCAGATGGTGTAAAATACACTCACGTTATTGCTCTTCTAATCACCCTAGAAGGTGCAGGTTTAACTGCACAAAACACAAGCAAGGTTAGATTAGTCCATTGCACATGCGGGACAGTGGCACAGGTGGTTGAGTTACCTGCTGTCGCTCTCAAGCTGAAAGTGCCTTTGTTTGCAAGATCAAACTCCACTTCAAAGGCATGAAATTTCTCAGTGATGTTTGCAGGAAACCGAATCTAACCCGATCCCTGCAGCTGTCTTTCACATAAAACACGACAGTCATGTTCATCTGTGGGAAACTGATCTGATTTGCAACTACATTTTGGTTTGAACTGCGAAAAATGAAAAACATAAAAGGTGTGTGGAGTGTTTGATTATAAAGAGTTATGAAAATCACCTTCTCCACATGTAGCAGGTAATTTAAGATGCAATAAAGGTGGCGTCACCACAAAAATATATATGTATATAAAATTTTGGTGCAGTGAGTGATTGTGCTAACATCTTTTCAATGTCTGCTTTCCCAGATCTAACTAGTTTGTGAATGCCTGCCTTGTCTGTCTTTATGATGTCGGTGTTTACATTGTTAAGAAGGGATTAGTTAATCAGTATTTCAATTGTGTTTATTTTAAACACTCATGCTTAACATAGTTTCTTCCAAAAGGCTTTAGAGCTGACTTCCTAAACCTGATACAAGTGAACTGTCTGCCTCAATCAAACTGCCTCTCTGTGATGTAACTGTTCAAAGCATTCTTTGTTCACTGACCCCTTTATTTGCCGGGCTAGTTTTTCTTTAGGAGCACATTTGATTTGGTGGCTTACTAAGCTTGAGAAACCATGTTTTCTTAAGGGTGTTAGGGGGGAAAATTTTGTTGAGTTTTAAGGTTGTGTGCCTTTAATCTTGGAATAATGAGACATGGAAGCAATGTTGCAGAACTGACTTAGTCTCAGCCAGCTGCAGCTGAATGCTGGAAGAGATTTCTGCAGACATGCTGCACAGAATACATACAGTAGGATCTTTTGTGTATGTGGGGCAACATACGGTAGATATACAATTTCAAGTGTTTCTGCTTTTTTGTTTTTTTTATTCAACTTGTTGCACAAAAGGAAATTAACAGGAGTTGTAACGCTGACCTCTGACCTCTGTCACACATTCCTATGCTTTTGTCATACTTAAGGAAGCCATGTAGCCAACATCTAGTTAATAAGGTTAATTAGATGGGAGCAAGGATGAGCCTAACTTCAGAGAGATTAAGCTTCTGTTGATATTCTACATCCCTTATTGAAAGTAATGACAAATAAGAGAGACTGCTGTGATTATTGTTGATTATACTGCTTCTAATGAAGTACAGCAACACCACCTGAACCTGTGTTGTTGTGGTCACCTGTCATAGCATAGCCACATTTTGATATTTTGAGTAAACCTGCTTTGTACCTGGATTTAATGTTTACAGAAGAATTGTCTTGATTAGGGAGTCATGGCAACCTGCTTCCATGGGTTGAACTAGGTCATGTGAAACAGACAAAAACACAGGTATAAACCAATAAATATTATTATTTTAGGCCTTCACCCATAGACTATATTCATTCTTGATTTATTTGTTCTCATTTTTTAAAAGACCGATCAGCCACATGGTCCAAACTTGAAGGAAATGTGCAAAAGCAACCAATGCAATAACTTCTACTTATTTTTGTATCACTTGACCCATCCAAGAGTTTTAGTTTATAATGGAAAACCAAAAAGAAAAGAAGGAACTCATCACATATGAAAAGACTGAAACAGCAAATTGTCCGACATCCCTGCTCGACAAATAACTTACAGCTATTGGATAATAAATTATTAAAAACATCAGTGATGGTTTCTGTTTGCCCAACAAATCAGGTATTCAGTTCTTTAGGAATAAGGGGAAGAAGGAGAAATGAAAGTCAGTCAGAAAGAAATTAATTTTTCTCGAACCTCTATCAAATAATTAAAAAAAACAATATTAATAATGTGCAATGGTAACTGAATTTAAAGATATGTGAAAGGCAATTAATATTTATAATCTGAACTTTACTGTCCATTGTACATCCATACAAGAAACCCTATTTTGTATATTATTCATCTGTCAAAGACACCATTGGTATGTTAAAAAAATAAAAAAGCTCAGATGAAATTTCTTTCCTCTGGGCACATTGACAGTAACTCATTCACCATCACATATATACTTGCATAAACACATTTCCTCCTTTCTCATTATGTTTTGTGATCCTTATCAGGACGACTTGCAGCACTGTTTGGACATAACTTTCAAATATTTTAAAATAACTTGATATCAGCATGGAGGCTAAAGATGCACATATCTGGTTAAGAAACTTGTCGTCACATAAATATGTACTAGGACATGCTATCTTAAATTATGTGCAGAAGACAAAGTACTGAGGTAAATCAACCCCTCCTTGATCCTTATCATGCTGAAGGTGCAGAGTTATGCGAGGTGATGTGAGGATACACCTTAGTGACTGTATTGAAACCCTTCCATTCTGCTTTTCTTGTTCCATGTTGCAATGGTGGGTTTCCTGGATTTAGTTTGGGTAACCTTTAGCAAATGCACCTGAACCATGACTGAAAGGAACAACACCTGAATTTCCATGTTATCAACGTGGAACTCTGATTGCTCTGATAGAAAAGCCTCATAGCTCCCAGCTACCCACATAGTCCCAGCTGGAGTTTTATAACTCTGCACACCTGACCACTGCAGCCACCGGCCACAGGTCCAATAACACAACTCCAAAAGTAGATGTAATCCCTGTAAGCCACAGGTGGCCTTACAGATTGGCTACCCAGATCTCCACATTTTTCCCTTCTTTCACACCCTGCCCCCCTCTCGCTCTCTTCCCCAGGCTCTTGGTGCGGTGGTAACCCTGAGCTGAAATAGGGCCTTTGGAAGGTAGAGGCAACGCGCTGCAGCCAGGACCTGTCACATTACTCTCAGCTCCACAGTGGGACCAGGTCACCTGAATGCAGTGAAGGAGGGTAGCTGAGTCTGAGTGCAAGTAGACCAAACACAGGGAAACAAGGACACTTGCAGCAGCAACTGAGTCCAGCGTGGGATTTGGAAGACACTTTTGCCTTGGAGACAAGGTGATCACAGCTGTGTGCCACTTTGTGGTTAAAAGAACTCCAGATCTTTTGTAAGACGTGGGACTCTTTTGATAAAGAGAAGTCGCAATGGACTATGACTACCCAGAATTGGATCCACTGCCATCCAAAATTGAACCAGAGTAAGTAAAGTCTTAAGATTTAAGTTGAATTCTTTCAAGTTAATGCTATTTTACTTTAATGCTTTTAAATCTTTGCTTAAAATTGGTCTGCACTTTGTTTGATGTTTATTAGTAGTTCTTAAAACTTTCTCTGAGGGTGAACAATGTCTCTGTGAGATTCTCCTCTCATTGAGATATTAGGTGACACTTGGCACACTTCTGCAGTGCTAGCGCCAGCGTCAGTGTGTGGTCTTCTTTCAGTTCTTATTATTTATCATGTCGAGGCTGTATCCTTTTCATCTTTTGAGGTTGTAGGTTGTCCTGGAAATGCCTGTGGAACTTATTGGAAAAACGTTAGACGTTTTAAACATTTGTCTGTACGTATGTTTCACACCCAAAATGTTACCAAGTTGCACTTTATATGACACCGCTTAAAGATCCATGACGTATCCCACAGTGAAGCTTTTTCCTCTTAGCTCCTTTTGTCCAAATTGCTTTTCTATGTTGTTAAAATCCATTATGTTTTCATTGGTATGGGGTAGTTAATAAAAGAAATGATGCCTCCAGATGAACAACACAAATGAAGTATGGTGGAAGAAGCTGCCATGTTTAGCTAAAAAGCCATTTTGCTGTTGTAAAAAAATAATACTGTATTGAGTTGTAGCTAGTCTTGGGCCTCTAATATAGCTCCCTGTCAGTTTATGAAGCATAAACTGCTGCACCACTGAGAGCTGGCTATAATTTAATTTTTTCACATTGTTATAAAATAGCAAGTAAGGAATTCACAGATTGTTTAGAAAGGTAGGAAATATTGAAACATCTATTCTGGAAGCTGCCATCTTTATGCTCACAGATGATAAAGTAAGTGGTTGATGTGTGAGGCCTTCTCTGAATTGTAATTACAACCCCATGACCAGGCATTCCTGCTCTTTTAGAGCACAGGAACATGAACATAGGCATTTGTTGTTTCCCTGTCACGCCGATACCAATCCGTTTAACATGCAAATCTCTGCTGCGGGATTTCAGCTGCAGAGTTTCCAACCACAAATGGCGCTGATAGGGAAAGTGTGAAAAGGTTAATGAGGTATACTGAAGGTCAGCGCAGTGACTCAAAAGCCTTCAGTTATATTTTACTCACGTGAATGTTTTGCTCCATTTGTTTTAGAGTAATCCCTCCCTGTGACCCTACTGCTGACGACAGGCTCTATCATATATGCATCACTGTGATATCTGTAAGTCCGCAGTCTTCTTGGATTAATATGACACCACATTAAACTGTCCTGTATATTACATCCTGTTGTCAGGCGTGTACTGGTGTGCCACACTGAGACATCAAGGTTTGCGTTTCTGTCGTTTCTAATTGCATTCAAGTTTTAAAAATGTACAAAAATGTTGGTTTGAAGGAAGTTTTGCGAGCCCTTTGGCAATGATCCCAGGAACAAATAATCCTGTTATGTGATCACAAGTGTGATCCATATTAGAAAATTGTTTTTGCCTAATGTTTTGCTGCTTATTAAACGCTGCACTTACAGGAATAATAAAAAGAAAGCTATTTGTAGCCCACATTCTGACTAAACTGAGATATAATTTTTCAAATTTAGAAGTTGTTAAGCACTACATTACAAAACATTTGTATAATCACTGAACACAGATTTGCCATTTTAGGTTTAATGATAAGTACATTTGTGTTTTCATGATGAAGCTCCTTCATTAACTGATTATGGATGGTCTTTGTAGTCGGTCCAGACTTATAGTCTAGCTTTTTCCCCCCATTTCTGCTTTCTAAATGTGTCTCAGGTCATGACAGGTCATTGAACTTCATTCAAGCAACATTCTTGGGGAGCATTAGTCAGACACTGGTGTTTGGCCTTTTGTATCACAGACACCCCATCATTTTTCCCTTTTTTTTTTTGCCTGATGCAGAGTGAAGCATAAGCTGCATAGTGGGCTGTAGTGAGCTATGGTGGGCTAACTGAGGTGTATTCTCCTTTTAGCTTGTTGTCATGCTGATTCTGGCAGTGTTGGCAAGGCGCATGAAGGTCGGCGACAGACAGAAAGGACTCCCAGGTTTACTCAGGTGAGCCTCACTTTACTTTATCTTACAGTTTCACAGGTGAAATTGAAAATCCAGTTTTTACAGACGCGTCTTGTACCCTACTATTACTCTCACCCAGATTTTCAGTCTACCTGTCTACTGGCTTCCATCTATTTAACAGTGACATGAAGCTTTATGTGCAGAAGCTATAGCAGAATCTATTGTAGGGATAATTTGGCATTTGAGGTGAGTTTTAAATGTAGCAGGTGCTAATTGTGTTTATTAGCTTTGGGTAAGACCTTAAATCAATTGGAAACATGGCTTAGTTTGTTTGTCACTTTATTTATTAATTAAATCTCAAGTCAAGATGACATTCAATTATCCCCCATTTCTGCTGTTCATTGGTCAGTGACTAAAACTATGGCAAAAACCTGAACTGGATTCAGGTGAGAACATTCAAGTGATCCGTTTGAAACTTTAGGTTAAAACTTTAAAAATCAAGGCCTTATTTTCATGTTACATGAATTAGAAAATTCTCTTTCTCTATCTTCTCTAACTGAGCTGGCATTTTTTTTAAAGTTTTCTAGTGAAAACTTAAAAATGTTCCTTTTAAGTTTCATCATTTCTCACTTGATCAGTAACTGTTTTATCCAAATGTGAGGAGGATGTCAAGTGAGCTCTAAATACCTGCTGCTTTATTCACAGTCCGGTGAACTTCCTGGACCATACGCAGCACAAGGGCTTGGCAGTGGCTGTGTTTGGAGTGCTCTTGTGCAAACTGTGGGGCCTGCTCATATCGCCAAACCCTCTCCCCTTCACAACAGACACCGCTAACAAACGTGAGGTCGTCTTGATCATTCCAGCAAACAATTTTAACATTTGCTTGTCCCATAACTTCGTGAGTTATCTTAGCAGTTAAAACCAATAGGCTGACGTGTCCCCATACACAAAAATAGTGTTAAATGTCTGCCTTATATAACTGGATTATTTTGCTCCTATGTTATTTTAAACTCTGGAGTTTGATTGTAAGCTTGGCAAGAAGCTTTGTGTCTGAAATTACATAACAAAGGACAGCAGGCAGCTGGTCCCCTGCAACGTTACACAATCCCTAAACAGTAGAGGGTTCAGCAGAGTAAGAAATGCAGCCTAAATCAACTATAGTTTCAGCAAGAGTTTTGGTCTGTGGTATGGTACAATAAGAGTTGTAGCTCCTTCAAACTTGGTCTTCTCACATTTCTGTTGTATTTGCAGAGAACTGGGTGATTCTGGGAGTCTTCTTTTACCCCGCACTATACTACCCTCTCCTGGCATGTGGCACTTTACATAATAAAGTTGGCTATGTACTCGGTAGCCTCTTGTCTTGGACACACTTTGGTGTTCTGGTCTGGCAGATAATTGACTGCCCAAAAACACCAGTGGTAAGCACAGATCACTTTCATTGTCATAATTAGCTCCAGTTCATTTATAAGTGGTTTATTTTGTTACAATGAATCTGCTCCAGGATTGAATCACTTTCTTTGTTGTCTGTCATCTGTCTCAATATAAAGGGTCATTTCAAAAACAAAGCTGGTTTGTTCTTGTCTGGAAACACACTGACTACCAAACAAAGCTGGTCTGTAGTATCTACAAAAGATGGGATTTCAATAGATGAATATTGGAGATTTGAGATAGATCCATGGATACAAGGTTGGGATTTTTAAAAGCTTACCCAATCCCAAATCTTGTGCCACGTCCAAGTTGTTAAGGTTTTCAGACCTATGAATGCCTGTGACTCAAAACAATTAGTTCCACTGTCTGCTGGTCTTAATCAAGAGGCTTTGTCACACTTAATCACTTTAGTGTGTCTCAGTAATATGTCACATCCAGAGTACACTGTGTGTGATGGCCTTCTTTAAAAAATATATTAGTGAGGTTTTGAGCTAAATCACATAAAAACAATAGAGTAAATTACACAGAATTACATATTCAGTAAGAAAATCTATCCACGTTTAGTTCATAGCCAGCTACTTTTCAAAATACATTTCAGTTGTCAAGTTAGATACGAGATGTGCGGTCAGTGGAGGTTTCAGATGTTTGTGTGGCAGGTGAGAATTGATTTGGCCAGCGTACAGACTTTCACCACAACAAACATAAAAAGATATTTTTGCAAAATGTATTCCCAGCGCTTAATCCCCAAACTCCCAAATCAAGTCTCTAAGTGATTTAAAATCTTTTTCTTTTTCTTTTTCTTTTTTTTTTTACCTCTTTGCAGATACACAAACACTACTCTCTTTTCTCCAGCCTGCCCCAGATTGCTTGCTTGGCATTCCTTAGCTTTCAGTATCCCCTTCTTCTGTTCAAGGGCTTAAAGGGCACTGAAAAGAACAATGCTACAGAGGTGAGTATTGATCTGAGAGCAGTTTTTCTGACTTCATTGAGTCATTTTTGTTGAACAGCTCTTATGTCACTAATTGTTTGGGCTTCTTGCATAACATACTCGAAACAATTGTATGTATTAATAGTCTACATTTGTGTGAACCTGACCTTTAACAAAAAACTCTTACTGAGACTCGCATTTCCTTTGAATCTGTGGACATGAGAAACCTGTATAAGCTGCCTTGTAATCTACAGGCTGATTATGCTCATAAAGTCTAGGCTGAGGGGAAATGTGAAGTCCGACACGGCACATCTGTGACCTAATCATTTTAAGTAGATTTGACGTAATTGGTTTGCGTTATGTTCTTGATCGGTTTATGAAAAGGTTACCTTGTTTTTGCAATGAGGAGACACAATGCTGTGTTTATTTGATGCTAATCTTGGCATGGTGTGACAAAACTGGATGTCGGGATCGGCTGGTGTATGAGTCACACCCCCAATGTCCAGCACCATGAACCTTATTGCAAGGAGGCTTTTTTTTTTTCATACTTTAGCAAATACATTTACATGTAGATAGAACTTAAAGACACAGATGTCCAAAGGTGTTTAGGTACATTAAAGCCTGACTCAATAATTTATGTCTCCTCAAATTTGGTTACTTATATGATTGCTCTTCTTTTAGGATCTGAGCAGCAGCTACTATAGAGACTATGTCAAGAAAATGCTCAATAAGAAAACGTCGACCAAAATCAGGTGAGAATTGTTGCCTCTTATCAAAAACATTGATTTGCTGTGCTGTTACATAGCCATCTCTGTGTTCCTACAGTTCGAATGTAGTGAAGTAAACAGTTTGATTCAGCATAGCAGAGAGAGGCTCAGCAAAATAACAGCAGTGGTTTTCAAGAACTGACCATTTTAGGGATTTTAGAACAAACATGTTTTTTTTGCACCGTTGTGTCCAAGTTTTAACCATCGAGCTATTGATCTGAAGTGAAGCTGAAGAATTTAGGTAGAGGTGTGATGAAGGCCTTCATTATTCCATCCACTTTGTACAGTGTACCAGTGCCACTGGCAGCAGTGGTACTGCAACAAAGAGCCCAAAGTTGTAACCTAAGTAGAAACAGATTTGAAAAAGAATGTGTTTAAAGTTGCTTCATTCATTTATATATATTTTGCCTACCCCATGAGTTCCCTGAGGTTTAAAATGCTGTTTACATTTTTAATGTAAGTTTCTTTTTTTTTTCACCTTTCGCTTCAGCACGTCGAGCACAGACAAGCCCAAACTCCCCCAAAGAATAGCCGATGCTGTGAAATCTTACATTTATACACCAGAGGATGGTAAATATATTTGTCTGGGACCTGCTTAATACCATGTCATGCACATATTAGGTGTTAAAACTGGTCAAACTCTTCTTGGAATAATTATTGAATTGGTCATTTATACAGAAGGTGGTCACGTGAAGCAACTGCATGAATGCACAATGTGTGCAGTACAAATATGCTTAGATTTGGAAAAGCAATATGTAATCCTGTTAACTTACTACACCTTTACTGTTTTCATGCAGCTTTCCGTTTTCCGCTGAAGCTGGCTATATCTGGTGTTGTGTCTTTCATAACCCTGTATCAGGTAACTACCACAGCTACTATTAAACGCAATAATCCCTGTATATTTCATAAATGTTAACAAAACACACAAGGAGAGACATAATTGCATGGCTTGGTGTAGAAAGAGAGAGCAGAATCTCTCAAACGGTCTTATCCTAACTCAAGAACTTCAGCCAAGCTCCGAATATTATCATGATGTGTTTCATTTTATTTCCACATCCATAAAAGTTATTGCATTAGCATTCAAGAGTAGCTTCACTGGCTATTAATGAATGTCCTTTTTCCCTCTTAGATGGGTCTTCTGCTGATCTCAGCAGTCGTGCCGTCTCTCCAGACTGCTCGTTTGGGAGTCAATGAAGATGTTGCAAACCTTTTAGCTGGTTTCAGAATCATGCTGTCTCCAGACAAACATGAAGTGGTTCGGATAGTGGTTTATTACATGTGGTGTGTAGAGGGTAAGTGACACAAGACAACAAGAGAAGCCATTTAGAAATATGAGAGATGCACACGTACATAACGCTATGCCCTTTATTTTTGATGCATTTATTTTGTACAATTTTACTGTTCAAGCTTGACATCGTTCCACATTAAAAAACCTGAATGTCATGTGCCAATGTTTCTGCAGTGTGTTACATTTCAGCAATGACCCTGTCTGGATTGGTCAACCTGGCTATGCTCATGCGATCTATGGTTCTGCATCGGTAGGTTGTCTGTGATTGCACTTTTTCCCTTTTTTGTTGTTGTTTTGCATTGAATTTCCTTTGCATTCTGGCTACTTCATTATAATGCCATGTTTATTATAACATAATAGAGTACTAATCATGCAGACAGGGAAGCATTTAGTCTGTGTTAACTGCTGCTGCAATTGAAAATGGCTATTAAGAAGAAAAATGAAATACTGTGCCATTACCAGAAATGGCATCGCATTAAAATAAATGGATTTCCGAGTCAAGTATTGAATTGAGTATTCAGTCTATCTCTTGCTAAATTGCTTCTTCAATTTACTATGTGATTTGTACAGTTGGGGCTGAACTAGTTTATGTATTCCATAGTGTCGCATTGTTTTAATTGTGTTTTACCTTCCGTAGGTCCAATCTGAAAGGGCTGTACAGAGGCGATAGCTATAATGTTTACAACTGCCAGAGAAATATCAGAGCTTCCCGGCCTGCACTCGTCTGCTGGATGGGATACACCAGCTTCACAGCAGCTCACATCTGCATTGGTACAGTTACTCTGAAAGATTGTTATTATTTAGATTTTCTATATATTGTTTCTACTTTAAATAAAACAAGTTAGAGACAGAACTTTGATGAATTTTCTGTATGTAAATCCATATTCAGGGAAGAGTTCAGCATGCCCGCTCATAGTTTTCTGTTGACTGTTCTAATTAGGGGTCAGCACAGTAGATCACTGATCATCCGTTCTTCATCTGTTCATCACAGAAATGCCCTGGATGTCCTCTCTCACCACATACATTAACTGCTCCTTTGGCCTTTCCTTTTTCCTCTTCCTTTGCTGCTTATTTTCACAACCCTTCCCTCAGTATACTCAGTATCTCTCCACCACACACTTCCACATCAACTCCCCAAACCTCTTTCACTTTTCTGTGAACTCTCCAACCTTAACTGTCCCTATGATTTATGCTTTCCAAGTCCTGTTCATCCTTTTCCACTCCAAACACAAACCTCAGCAATTCTTAACAACATCTTTACATCCTGTTTTTGACATAACTGTGCTCGCTACCAATTCTTGTATATCCAGTTTCCAAATTCTGTTAGATATTTGTATTATTTCTGTTCATGCTCCTTAAATATTGCCTAAAAGCAATTCTTTCAATCGGCCAGCTCGGGCAGAGACATATCAGAGTATTCAAGCTTTCTACAGTGGGGTGACCACTGTAGATCTGTTGGATGCTGGATAGTGTCTAAGTGCTAAGACTGTAGCGCTCTGATCTCTCCCCCGCAGGCATGATCATCCAGACCATAGTGTTCTTCCTCTGCCTTCTGATTGCAGTCTTCCTTGTTATCATACCTGTCCTCCACAGACAGAATCTGATTCTCTTTCAGGTCCTGTGGAGCATGTGGTGAGTGATATAATTCTTGGTGTCTCTCAGCTTTCAGTTTTAGCTTATTTTAAGGTTGTGACCTTGTAAAAAAAATAAATAAATAAAAAAAGATACAAACACAAGTTGTCGTAAATCCCGACCTGAGAGTATCTGTGCAGTGGTGCTGCTAGGTTTGAAATTTGACACCTGGAGCGTTTTTCAATCAACAACATTCTCTGTGTATGTTGTACAATTTCCTGCCAGCTACCAATGTTTTTTGCGCTTTAATCACTGCTCCTTCTATGTGGGTTTCACCTTTTCAGGCCTTTCTGGCTCATGCTTCTCCTGGTTGTGTTGATTCAACACGTCACCGCCAGGTTTTGCTTCATCAAAAAGACAGGAGGCACACGAGATCTGGACAACAGGTGATTTACTGCATTTTCTACTGTACATTTTCCTGTACTTACATAATTTTACTGCCTGATTTTGATTTGATGCATTCTAATTTATCTCACAGGGGTAATCTGTTCCTGCTGACATACCTGATGTTTCCTGTTAACGTTTTGATCGGGGCGATACTGGGAATCTGGCGCATGATCATCACAGCCCTGTTCAACATTGTCCACATGGGACGTATGGATATCAGTCTTCTTAACCGCAATGTGGAGGCTTTTGACCCAGGTGAGCGAGATAACTGACGTGTATGCAGATTAGAATCAGTATAGTGTCCATTTCTGTAATAGTGAACACGCTGTCATTATTAGAAGGATTGTAGCTTGGCTAAAAAACACTTTCTTCATCAATTATTGGCACTTTTTTAGCATCCATCTATTGCTTAGAGAGGGCTAATAAAAATTTATAGTTCCCATTTTTTTCTCTTTGGACTCAGAAACAGGACGTTAACATATTAATAGGTAATAGCAACACGCTTTTATGTTTGTGGAAGCATTGTGGAAGCAATTTTCTATGAGAAAAAGCACTTCTTCTGATCCCACTTAGAGGTTAGAAATTTGCATCCTGCCCACTTTATCCTCCTGCCAGCTCACTGCAGCTCATATGATATCTGTATTCTGTGCAGGGCAGGGACTCTAATTGCATGGAAATGTCTGCAGATTTGCTGTCAGAAAAAGCAGGTGGTTAAAAAAAGAGAGAGAAAGTGTGATTGTATGGTCATTATGTGTGATTGCCTCAAAGCCAACATGGGGCGCAGTCCTGTGTGTTTATTGCTTTTGCCCAGTCAGAATGATTCACCCCTCCCTACGTCTGCCTGCAGCCTACCGCTGCTATGCTCATTATCTGAAGATCGAGGTGAGCCAGTCTCACCCTGTGATGAAGGCCTTCTGTGGGATGCTGCTGCAGTCTGTGGGCCAGGACACCAAAGCTGAACAGAGGTCACGAGATGCTGAAGAAGGTCTGTAGCACAAAACTCAATCCACACCACAGATTGTTCTCCATGTGTGGACAAAAAAAGCACATTGTGGTGTTTTTTGGGGTTTTTTAATGGCACAGAAGAGTGACCATTGCACACAGGTAGTCTTTGTTAATAGGATCAGCTCATTGTTTCAGTTGTTTCATGACATTAAGACATTTTCTCCAGATTATTCTTAAAGATCAAAATAATCTTAATACCTGCATTAAAAGTGCTGTAGCATCTTTAATTTCTCTGGGGTGTTTAGAATTTAATAGCAGGTCACTTTAACACATAATCAGATCATCTCACTTTGCTGCACGTACAGTGAAAATGAAGGCAGCTCTGATTTAATACGCTAAGAGCAAATTGAGTCTCAGAGCAGAATAGCTGGGAGTCCGGCTGCCTGTCCTAATCATATCAGTCATAAACGAATAAACTGTCGTTATGACTCTGCATCCTGTAATATAGGTGCTATATTGTATCTTTTATATTAACAACTTGCGTTAATCCAAAGTGTGAACGGGTGCTTTAGGGTGGATCGCAGATCTGCAGCAACGCCACTGACACACAAAGGAAGAGACTGATGGTCGCTCACGTATCATGACAGCAGGACATGCATTACACTGACAAATTAACAAGAAAATCCACCAGGATTCAGCGGTCGTTGTGGAATTTAGACACAGCTGAGTCCAATTAGAAACGTGCCATGGAGATGTTGCTTGTTTGCATCTAGAAAACAATGTATTATCGGGAATAATCTATTGTATTACAGTGATTACTTCTCCAGTAGCTGATTACACAGATGAGCTACGCTAATTGCCTGTTACATATTCATTCAGCCCAAGGGGCTTTGGCTTTCAGCGTGTTAATGGAAAGCCCAGTATGCTCCCACCATGCTTAGAGGATTAAAATATGATTGCTTTCTATTATTACTCTATCTGCTGTATATAGGGTGTCTTTTGGGAGGCCCACAAATCACCCTTTTCCAATTTCAGTTTAAAATAGAAAAAGGGTTATCCTTAGATGTCATTACATAGGACTTATAGATGTCATACCTTTTGGTGCAATCATGATGTCTGAACGTCCTCAGGGATCCAGCTCGTCCAGCAGGATAAGAAGCAGAATAAAGTGTCCATTGCCAAGAGAGCCCGCAGGCACTGGCAGCTCCTCTACACCCTGGTCAACAACCCCTCCCTTGTGGGCACCAGGAAGCACTTCCAGCGTCAGACCACAGACAGCTTTCTGAATGGAAGCCTGAACCGCAGCACCAGGGAGGAGAGCAAAAAGGAGGCTACGACCAAGGAGGCAGAAGCCGCTGCCAGCAACTAATCAAAAATGCGATACTGATTATGTACTGGCTGCAGAGTCTCGTCCGGTTTGGGTCTGCATTTGTACTATTTGTCTGCATTTGGTGAAATACATGCATTATAGCTCAGTGCCTAGTGTAAAGATATTCACCAAGTCTTTCCTAAACGTCTGGAGATTCGGAGTCCCTCCTGTGCTTTTCATGTTCTCCTGTCTGTGAGGACCTCAGTCTCCAGTCTGATGGGAATGCTTGTGTGGCACTGATCACCTAGTAAACACACTTAAAAAAAATAATTTTCTAAACATGTATGTGCTTATTTTGGGATAGAACTCATTTGCACTAATAGTCTTTAATCATGTATTATTTTCAGCATTCAATGCAGATAATGTAAGATGATGGTCATCCAACTAAAAACATGGATGCAGAAGCCAATGAATCATCTCTTTGAATGGGAGTTCATATATAGAGTGACAGAGAAGGGCAGAAAGACAGAACATCGGACTATTTATGAATATAAATAATGAACCATTGTCATACTGTGGCCAATAAATTCTCTTTTCCCCCCATCTTTAGGCTACACGCATTGTGTGACTGATATTAACCTGTGGAATAAACTGTATATTTATTCTGTTTTAATTTGTAGACTTTTAAGTCAAAAACATCTTACTGTTTCCAGTATTTCTAGTTCTTGTCAAATAAACATCTTCTTGTTTCAAATGTTTCGTGATATTTCACCATTTGTCTGCGCATTTAAACTTTTAAATGAAAATATACACATCCGATTGTTTTTCCCTGATAACTGTGAAAATAAAACGAAAAATACAGTTTTCTCCTGTTTTTTTGGGGTTTTTTTAATCACTGATGGGAAATTTTGTTAAGCTATTGCTCAACTAATATATGCATGAGTGCACTTGCAACGGGAAAGGGGCTTTTGAAAAGGAAACTGACCCTCAAACTAACCGGAAGCCGAACAGCTGCGGTAGCAGAAATAAGACCACCGGTCTCAGCATGTCTTCATGGGAATTTCCATAGATGTAAGTGCTCGTAAAACTCAGGATGAACCCTGTATACTATAAATGAAGCCTAGACACTGTAGGCTTTAGTCCTCCTCTGTACATTGCTGTACTCTGTAGGAGTCCTTGCTGCAAGTAAAATTGTTGAAACGTAATTCTAAGACTCTGGTAACTGCTTAAGTGTTTTGATAAACATTCTCCTATTATCATTTCACATTTTTATATAAGATATTAATTTAAATCCACTTGCGTAGTGTGATAATTTTCTGCCGAAAGAAGAGACCTGAACTGAACCATAAGCGAGAAATATAGACAAAGGGAGGCTTTGTGACTGATCGGAGCTCCAAAACGCAGCAGTGTTCAGGCTTCTCTGTTTTTAATCCCCTCTTTTTTAAAGAAAAGAAAAAAAGCCATGCCATAATAATCACTTTCCAAAAAAGGAAGGAGAATATCTTACATTTTTAAAGAAAAAATGATTATTTTTCGTAATCGAAATAATCATTTGGAACATAATTATTCGAAATGATATGGGGATTCTTTGTTTGTTTGTTTGTTTGCTTTTGTTGTTGTTTAATAAAATCGGAATTATAGTTAAATCCAGAAAAATCCACCAATTTGTATAGTTTCACATGTTTTATTAATTCCACTTACATAAAATTATATCAAAAAATCTTAAAAGGTCACGTTTTTTTGTTTTGTTTTACAACATAGTTCACAAAAAATCTCACTTTACATATCAAATTACAAGACAGTGAAGCCGACAGACGCTCACTGCGCCCATTTGTTAGGACTTCATTGGAAAATTGATTTTAAAAAAAATAATAAAGAAAATTCACGTGGCTTTACATCACAAGTAGACAGTCACATCTAAAAGTCCTATATAGACTACACTATTAGAAAACCGCACAAGGAGTGACATGCCATGGACACGTTCACCGTAAAAAGCGAGAGTACAGCAAGCACCCGTCGATTAAGAGGTTAAAGTCGCACATTTTTAAAGCCTTACGTTACACGTGGAACAACATGTTGTTGGTAAATAACCTGGAATTTCCCGTCAAGCACATCGTCACCTCTGAAAGCTCAGTTTCCCGTTTTTGGACGCACAGGACAGCGCGCAGGGCGCCGCTGTGCGCGCTGTCAGGTGCAACAGCGCCAAGCGCAAATATCATTTCATCAAACACATTAATCCCAATCTTTCTCTAGTTTCGTGGACAAGTTGAGTGGAGCCAGAGTGCCGACACCTGAGAAGATGTTAAATGGCCGTCATGAGATTTTAACAGCCTTGCACAGACACACGCGGCTCAGTGAGAGAATCTTGTCCCTGATGCCAGTTTATTTACAATGACTTCATAGAAAATCCTGTTTTTTTTGTTGTTTTTGCTTGTTTAAAACGCAGCGAAACGGTGGGTAAAATTTTGTGCACTTTTTTTCTCCTTTTTTTTTTGCTGCCTCGAATTACGCGCATCTCTCCAAGTCTCGCCTTCGCGAAATTTGTCCCATATGCCCGTTCGCGTACGTCCCACAGATGGGGTAAACGTTGGTGCTTTCCCGTCGGTTTTGAGGTCTGATAAAAGATATAAATCTGTGCTCGGTTTGTAAACGTGAGTTACTCGTTTTAACCTTACGGAAACTACAAATGTCACATGAATTCATTCACAATCGCGGTGATTGAAGGAGTATTGAGGTAAAAAAGTTAATGATCCCTTTTTTTAAAGACAAAAATCACACGGCATCGTTTTTTTCACGTGAAGTAATGATGTGTGTGTTACCTGCTTGAATATAGGCTACTTGAAAGCAAAATATTTTACAATATACTCGCAGACGTCAGCGGAGCTCAGCGGCTTGGCTGCTTGTAGTTGCCGTTGATTTCCTCGGAGATGTTGACGGCCTCTGCTCCCAGCGGTAACCTGTCACTGTACTCCGAGCCAACTTCAAACTCCTCCTGGTTGGTCTTGGATGATGATCCGGGGATGGACTCGGTCACCACGCTCCCCTCAGCCTCTTCCTCTCCTTCTCGTTCCTCTCCGTCAACCTCCCCCTCCCCCTCGCCTAACTCGCTGGTTTTCTCTGACTCCACGAAAGATGGCCTGTGATCAAAATCTTTTGTCATTTGCTTCTCCATCTGATCTGGATTCTGAGCTTTCATGATCAGCTTGTAGGTTTTTCCTTGATATTTGTATAGCAAATGACAGCAGGTGGCTCCCAGCAAGGGGACAGTGGCCAGACCCAATAGGAAAATGCTGACAACCACAATTATGAGCAGGGAGGGGATCTTCTTTCTAGTTGTGAAGACTACTTGGACTTGGCAGTCCTTCCCCCCATAGGTGAGACAAAGTGTGTAATTGGTGCCAGGCTGTAAATTATGGAAGCGGTAGGAATTAATTCCCTCCTCTATATTGGACCACTGAACCATGGAGTGTCCGTTTCCAGTATTTACACAGAGGTAGAGCATGTCCAGAGTGGTCTTGCTAGATGAGGACTGGTACAGACCCAAAGGTTCCTTATTCACTGTTTCCTGGTTTTCAGTTTGACTTAGATGAAGATTAGATTTGCTTTTGGCAAGCTGCAGTGGATTCAGCTGCACTTTGGCCTCCGTCTCTGACACTTCTAATGCAATAACACCAAAGTCAAAGGTGTACTGCTTCAGGTCTTCCAGGCTCATGTTGAAGGCATGGTTGGAGATGTATTCACTGCTTTCTCTAACACCGCACTTGCCTGTGAATGTGTGTGTCTTAGGAACAACACCGGTCTGCTCTGTTTCATCGTGTTTGTCTTTTGACGTTTCGGGACTTTCCTTTGTCTTCTCATCAAGCTTTGTCCAGTTGACCACATTATTTTTGGAGGGCTTGTTGGGGTCTGCAGGCTTTTTACCAGACGGGCGGCTCTTGTCCACTGTTGAATCGATGACTGTGTTGCTGGCTTCCTTTTGGGTGCCTGCCAGAGCCACTTTAACGCTGCTCTCTGCTTTACCCAACTCGTTCACCGCAAAGCAGCTGTAATTCCCATCTTCCTTTTTACTCACACGGGGGATGATGAGAGTTCCATTTCTAAAAACAAGAAATCGATTGCTGGTTGTTTTATCATTAATTGGCACATCGTTTATTTCTCCAGTGGAGGGCAAGGGGAAAAGATAATTTTGATTTCCTGCAGTCACCTCCCAGGTGATCTGTGGCTTGGGGCTCCCTTTTGTCTCACAATTTAAGATCACCATAATACCTTCATACAGATCTGTGTTTTCTATGTTTGGCTGATATGTTATAGTGACAGCAGGGGGCTCACAGTCCAGTTTAGGAATGCTTGAAACCGTCGTACCCTTCAGATGTTCAGGGGCCTCGCACACAATTGAATTTGGCTCGGGGACAGAAATTTTAGTTGTCGTGATCCAGTCCCTCAGCCACTGCAGACGGCAGGAGCAACTGAAGGGATTGCTAAAGATCTGCAGGTGAGACATAGCAGTGAGGGTGCTGAAAGTCCCCTCGACAATGGTGGTAAACCTGTTGTTGTTAATTCGAAGCGACCTCAGGTCTTTGAGCGTGGAAAAGGCATCCTTTGGGAGGTTCACCATTTCATTGTTGTTCATTTTGAGAAGCTGCAGGGCTGTGAGACCGCGCAGATCTTCCCATGGAAAGTTCACAATTTTGTTGTGGCTGATGTCAAAGTTGCGTAGCTGAACCAAAGGGGCCAAGGTGCCTCTCTCTATGGTGACTATTTCATTGTGGGCGAGCCACAGAGAGGTGGCCTGAGTGATATTAACAAAGCTTTTGCTTTTCAGGATTTGGATTTTATTGGCAGAAAGGCTCACGGTGGTAACATTGGAAGGGAGACCAACAGGGACCTCCAGCAGGTCTTTGTAAGCACAGTCAGCAAACTGATGGGAAAATTTATCCTGGCAGCTGCACTGCTCTGGACACGTCTGCACAATGCCAGTCATAACAGTCCACAAGGCAAGGAGCTGTAAGAACCTTCTTGCCATTTTCTGCACCTGCAAGCATCAATTAGCAGACATTAGCTACGATCAGACATTTATAAGAGCATTATCCATTATCCATTAGAGCAATCACACCGACGGAAATGTACTGCGGATGCTTTTTTATCTCATATAGATTAAATGTGTTTCTCTGAATGCCTTAAAAACAGTTCCCTTTTATTTTCTTCGCTACACAGAACAACAATGTTTGACGAACAAGCGCACATATGCACATAAGTTGTGGGTCATATTTGATTTCAGATGCCCTCCTTTGAGCGCGTCTGCACAGGCAGGTCCGGGTAAACTGGCGCTGTCCGTGGTGATGAAACGGGCTCTAGTTAATGGGTTTTCTTTTAGTTATTCGAGAAGGTTTCACTCCCAAAAGCACTTAATGCTCAAATCAGATTTTTCCCGATCAATTTGCGGATTATTAAAGCATTCGTGCACAAACGCCTTTGTGACACAGACACAGAATTAATCCGCGGGTTGATTTCTAGACATTTTTGTATTTGTTTTAAAGTTTTGATCCGGATGCTGCTCCGTCTCTCTCTAATTTCATGCAGTAACTCCCGCATTAGCTTATTTTTCCGTCATCTTACCTGTCCAATGTTAACTTCAATTCCCGTGTCTTATAAATCACCCTCGGAGTTTACAGTCCACTTGAAACAAGTTTAATGTTTGAGAAAAGTCGAGTCCTCGGAGGTTTCGGATCCTTTCACATGCTTTGTGCAGACCTGAGCGCAGATGAAGGACGGTGGAGGGATCATTTTTCTCCCGGTGAGTCGCTGTTGCGGTCCGACGGCGCTTTTTTCTTCCTCTCCGGCGAGTGTGGGAGCCTCTGCGCGTCCCCGCCGCTGCGGCGCGAGAAAATGAACGTGAACGCGCAGCCTCTCCCAGCCCCTCTCCGTGTCTATTAAAGATACAGAAGCTGCTCTTGGAGGGGTCCTCCGCCCTCCAAGAAAATCCATAATTTAGGATCCGATGTTTAATTTATTACTCCGACCTAAGCCCATCTTTGACCTCATTCGCTTCACCTTCAACCCTTTGTCTTTAACTAAAGGACACAAAAGTAACAGTTTGCACACGAAGTGAAACATTTAAAGTGTTCTTGTGATTAGGAAAAAACTGCAAAGGCACTTATATTATCTAGTATTATCTTTAATAACAATGACAAATAAGGCTGGAGAGAAGGTGAATTCTGAGGAGTCCAGTGTATGGACAGGCTCTGCATAGAGCCACAGGATACCCGGATCATTTGATGGTGTTAGACTGCAGCTGCACCGCATCGTGAAACCTGCTTTAACTTTTTGTTTTTAATAAATATATCTGATTTAACGCAACAAATTTCGGGTAAATCTCAAATGAATTACTTTCAATTTTCGTAAACAAAAAAGCCAAATTCGTGCACATTTTATTTTGTTTGGCAGCTAGTCTCGTGTCTTATTTAAAAGGCTTCTGTGCACCAGTGACTTTCAGCCTATCGCTGCGTAAATAAACATTACATTATATAATCATTATAAGCGTTTGAGTCTTGCAAATTGGTGGTTGCGTTTAAGGAGAAGGGTTTCCTGCTCAGATGCCGCCATCTTCTGGTGGACTACAGAGGTGTCAGACGTAAATAAAGCAATGCCCCTTTATTTTCAGGTTTCAAAGGTTTCAAAGTAATCCAGGCCTTAAACCTCATGTTTGTTCTCACTAGTAATAGCAAATCCATAAAAATAAAGCTTTTATGATAAAACTGAATAAAATAAATCGCTTCCTTATCCTTAAAGTTACAGTTTAGTAGTAAAATTTACATAAAATAAATCATACATATAGAAAGTGTCTTTGAATAACATGCAGAAACGTGTGCATAAGCACAGAGCCATGGCTCAGTGTCAGAGTGTCTAATGAGTCTCACAGGCCTGAATGTGCGCTTGAAACCATTAATAATTCTTTAATCACCACAAAGTATTCCAACAGCCACCAAACAGCTTAAACGACAGGTTTCGTCGTTTAAGTGAATTTTAGTCGGAAAGTGACGTCACTTTCCGACTAAAATTCACTTAAAATTCACAATTCACTGTCATGAATTTGTCTTACCTTCGGTGTGTTGCTTCCACTACGATAAAATCGCACTTCCTGCATAGCTGTTACCTTACAGCTGTGTGTGTGCTTACATAAAACTTATCTTTCCCCTACTTCCCCTTTTCTATATACCGGAAAAATTCAACTTTCACAAATTATTATGTTGGCCAAAGTCTTAGCCGTGTCTCTAATAAAACTTGTGTAAATTCTGTTGTTGTTGTTGTTTTACAACGACAGTTTTGGTAAATGAGCTTCCAGAACTTTATCTGCAACTTTATTTCTTACAATTTAAGTTGAAAGTGTCTTTCTGACAGATGTCTTTCTTTATCACAGAGGCTTTTTCGTCATCATATAGAAAAACCGTTAAACATCTAACTTCTTTACACTGACAGAAAGGGGAGTTTTACTCGTCTGTATGTGGCCTGCCATGTAAAATGATTTTGACACCTCTCGTCTAATGCACAGATTGCAAAGACATACTAAACATTTATTTAGCAATAAGAAGAATATGAATATGAAATAACAATGGTAAGGAGGTCTGTGTACAGAAATGGTTAGGATTCCTAAACAGTTCATGTAATGAATGTCTGCACTTCAATCACATCTTGCTTGTTTGATTTAAATTCCACTGCCATGGTGGACAAAAGCAAAATTACAGAAACTGTATCACTGTCCAAATATTTGCAAACTGGAGCTTATCTAAGGAGGCAGAGTACCCCCTCAACACATGTACGGGCAATTTAGAATCATCAATTAGTCCAACTGTGCATGTCTTTGGACTGTGAAAGGAAGCAACAAAGGGCAAAAGACAACCTGCACAAACTTCACAGGAAAAGCTCAGCCTGTACTGCTATGAGGCAGAAGTGCTAATCACCACAAAGAGTTTAAATTCCCCAAAACCTCTTTTTAAAAAACAGGTCTGGGTAGTGTTCATTTTCCTATCCAGGTAATCACCTGGAGATTTATATTCTTCCCTCGACCCTGTCACGATTTGTTTAATTGTCAAGTCTCAATATAACTTGTCTTTTGGGTATCAATTTACTTTTTTTTTTTTAATTTTAGGTTTTGTTTTGTGTCAGAAAGTAAAATAGATTCTGATACGGAACTAACATACTCTCTCTTCCCTTTCCTCCTTCTTGGCTGCCTGCTCGGCTGCCGTACAATTTCCTGCTGTATTCGTGATTCAAGTCCCTGCGGTAAACCATCTAGATTTCTCTCTTCTTTATTTTCCAGATGTCTTTTTAAATGCTTTAAACATTTACTTTAACTGTTAAAATCTCACCAGCTCTTTGCTCTGAACCTGCTTCTGCTCCCTCTCTTCACACCACATTTTGTTTCACACCTAATGGAGTACATCCCCAAAGTATTTCCAAACGTGTGCACACTGTAAATTTGTACAGCCTTTCAGATCATTTTCAAACGTCGTCCAGAGTATGTTTATTTAGAAACTTCACAACGCTGTGTTGAGACTTCTCAAACAAAAGGCTTTTGGAAACAATGTGATTTAACTCAGTGTCACAAATCCTAATGTGGCCCTGGAGAGGAGTGATCATTTTAAGTGATTTATTTTAAGATTTAATTAAACACAGCAGTGGAAAATGTCCAGTACAAGCACAGCTACAAACAACTTTTTAAATTATACAGAATATGCAAATAAATAAATAAATAAACCCATCTACTTGTCCTACTAGGGATTAAGTTAGGAAACAAGAGGACACACAGATGTTCCCAGGTGTCACTACTACCCCCAGTGAGCATACTGGCTACCACCAATCCCATGAAGATGACAGAAGGACTAGGGTTTAAAATCACTAGGACAATATATTTAAAAAACAAAACAAAAATACAAACAAACCCTGGAGAACAAAAATAAATAAATAAAAATAAATTGAAAGGTAATTTATTTTAAATTAAATTCAAGAAAAGTACAAACACTTAAAACATAAATGGATAATAATCTGCACTTGACTGGAATTTCAAAAGGAAAACAAAGAACAATTCGAATCACTCACAGCATGAATATGCCTTCTCTTATACATAAACACACATGTCGAGTAGGCTAATTACCAAAACATTCAAGTACCCCACAGCTCAAGCAGCTACAGGTTTAGGATTCCTGAGGAAGTACTGTACAAATAAAATCAAGCAATGGCTCATCTGGTACTTTGTTGTTTATTTTTTCCTGCTCTTTTTTTAGGTTGTTTTGTCTTCTACTTCAAAGGGAAACCGCCACACCCAAGTTCTCACGGAATCATCTGTCGTGACTCTCAGACCAAAAGAGAACGTTTTAATTTTCATGTAACACACCAGCACCTACTACAGCAAGTGCAAACAACTCAGAAGTGACAAAATCACAAACCATACCTTTCTGATACTTTTAGTGCACATGCATACCTTGGAGGATTGCACTGAATCACCCTCCAAGGCCTATCACACCAGATGCATGTCGCATTTCATTTGTTACCCAAGGAATTCACGCTATTCTGAGTAATGTCGACTCCCCGGGGACCTTGGAATTGCCATACACTACACTCTGAGATAATCATTTTCAGGGTGAAATGGGCATGCGAGTATTATTCTAAGCCTTGGCTTGTAGGGTCAGGTTAGCCATGGATTTGTGTTCAGTTCAGGGTAGGCGTTGAACCGATGTCGGGTCTGTTGGATAACAGCGACCTCTGCTGGCAACGGATTGCAGTTACAGACAGGCGTTGTAAATTCATGTCAGGCAAAGTATCGTGCGTGCTTAGAAACTTTAAACAACATGACGCACATGTGAAAAGCTACATTTATGACATTTGCTTTCAGTTCTAAGAATTTCCTTAATCGGAATTTGTGTTTGTTTTCCAATAATTTCCTTCCTGAAGTCTTCCTGTGAGAAGAAGGACAGGAAAACTTGGGGTCCTGAATGCAGATTTACTCTTATCAGAACAGAACAGAAACCAAAAACATGTTTGTTAGTCACCATATCTGTGACCTCAGACACCAATGCAGCACCAGCTTAGTCCTGTGATACCGTAAGTGTTTCTTAACATAGTCCTAAAGTAAAGCCTATCAGTGATGCTTAACTGTAAGTCCTCTATAACACCACTTGACACATTTCTACAACTTGATGAGTGACTCAGAAAAGAACCCAGACATAAACAAAACATGAGTGCATGCAGATGGTTTACCAAAGGACAAACCTAGTTGTTAGATCAGGGATTATGTAAATTCTGTCTTAAGCCACAGATTTAGTAAGCTTCATTATAATTATAGTAGCCTAAGACAGACAGAACAACATATGAACCATAAACAGTGGAAAGTACCATCTCCTTCTACAGTGTTAAATATTTGTGTAGACACTGCAGATCAAAACAGTTAAAACCATGTGGCTGTAAATCAGAGCCCACAACAACATAGTGTGTCTGTGGCTGAAAGGGCGTGTTTTCCTAGAATGAAACTGCAACAACAGGGTTTGGTCAGCAGAGTGTGGCCAAAAGACTGAGACCACCACTGTGAGAGCCAAGTTCAGAGTCAAGTGTTACACTATAATGGATAATGGATGCTGTGTTATCTCATATTTGGAGACAGGATGAGAGAAGCATAAACAACACTAGGTTTCCATGGAGTTTCTGGACTTCAATTAGTTAATCTGAAAGAAAATCTTACAACCTTATCGGACTCCACCCAAATTCCCATTTGTTTTTGTCTATGCACATACACTGTAGTGCCCCCCTTCCCCCCCAAAAAATCTCTTTACATAAGCAGGATGTACTCTGTGCAGTCATTAAGAACGCTGAGACTAGATCTAGGTAAAAGACAGCTTAAGCTCAAGATCCTTGCTTTGTCATCTGCCCTCTTGTCATGCTGAAAGTTATTTACTGAGTACTCTGGCTGATTAAAACACAGCCTGCTAAGATTAAATAATAATATCTTACCTAATAGGATGACTCCTAGTGAACAAATTGTCACACTCTTTTTATGATGAAGAAATCATTACAAGACATTAGCAAGTTTTCTTCTTATCTCTTTAAATATTTTGTGAATAATGAAATAAATAATACTTTTCATATTAAAAAAAAACATTTTTTTTTAAACATTCAGGATTAAATAATTGAATACCGTACCAAAATACATGTGTGTAAGGCAACATGATGACACAAGCTATAAAGAGACATTATGTTAAATTCATAGAATTAAAGCAACACAAGGCACAGCTTACTACATTCTGGTGTAAATAAAGTTTTAAGTGGTTTATTAGCTACATTATTGCTCTATAACACTCTTTATCAAGGGACTAAAGCAATAATTCAGGTAAGGAATCTGACTCCATCTCAGGCTACTGAGGCCAACTCTGTGTTCTTTAGAGGTTTTCTCTACAAGGTGATTGCAATAATTTATTTTAACAAAATATTATGTGCACAATATTATGGGGGCAGCAGCACTTGCTTAGGCTGCTGCCCCCGCGACCCGGCCTCGGATAAAGCGGATGAAGATGGCTGGATGGATTATGTGCACTATTTTATTTGTATTATAGTATAGGTCATGAAAAAAAGAAAAAAGTGCTATCAGTGCTATAATACTGTGTACAAAAATAAGATTTATTTATTTTTTCTTATGGAGGTACTCCATCTTTAACATCCTTTCCAGTATAATAATACGCCTCCTCTGCACTTCCCCAAACCGTCTCAGCCGAGCTGTCCATCTGATCGACTCATTTCTAATCCCAACAAAACAAAATCCCTACCACCTCCAGCTCGGCCTCCTGTCTTTTTTGTCGCTGCCGCCGTCTTCAAACCGTACATCATAACAGGTCTCACTGCCATCTTGTAAACTTTCCCTTTCACTCTCGCTGTTATCCTTCTGTCACAAATCACCCCGACAATCGTTTCCATCCGCTCCACACTACCTGCACTTGCTTCTTCTCCTCGTTTATGCATTACCCCTGCTGTGGATGAGCAATGCCAACTCATCCACCTTCACTATCCCTACTCTGCGCCGCGTCAGGAAAACACATACCCAATTTCAGTGAGTATGTGTTAAAAATTATAACACTACAAATAGGCCAACTTTTTGCATGTTTTAGAGTATTTTTGACATAACTGCTTTTAAATACTGAGAGAAGCCATTTCCCAATATGCAAAGCCAAATATTTTCATTGTGCATTTTTAAGATACCTTTCTGAGCACTGAGGCAAAAAGAAGGTGGAGACACATTCCTAAATTATCGGGTCAGCAGTGCAATGTCAAAACAGATAATTTACATTTTTTGGTTCTATATGGACCAGAGTGGAAAGAGCTCTCTTCCCTTCAGTTTGTATAAGACTTACAATTAAGCAGACTTACTGTTTAAAGATTGTCTGTGGCCCTTTGACTGGAAGCTTTCCCACTTACACTCATAGCATAATAGTGTTGTTGACTTGAGATATACATTCATGTAAAGAGGAATTACCTCTGATTACTTTCTGTGCCTTCCATTTCATTGATTGTGTTAAAAGGAAGAAAGGTACTCAGCTAAAGTGTTTTATGTAAGATGCTCCGATGTTTTCAATCACCATTGGAGACCATTCAAGCTGTGCACTGCTGACCGGTTGTACTGCTTTCTTTTTTCTTTCCCCTTCCTGTTCAAGCCCCTCTTTGAAACAATAAACGTTTTTCACAGCAGAAATGTTTCTGTGTTAGGTTCCGCTAAAGGCTTGACATGGATTTCCGTTAGTGCTGCATGAGTACAGAGGGCCTGACATTTTGACACTGCAAATTAAAAGTAGCGAGTAACAGAGAGTCAGTTCAAAAAGAAATTATTGCTACAAGCAGCGTGATCCATGTCATCTCTGGAATAAGAGCTGGTGCAGCGTTCCAGTTGTCAGGTGTATTGCTTTTTGAGCACTTTTTTGGGTCTTGGTTCTCTATGAGCTCATATGTTCCCACCACTTTGATGTAGTCTTTCTCTTCTGAAATACATCTGTACGTGCCATACTTCTCCTGTGACATGGAAGGAATGAGGTGCAGACAGTTGGTAAGCATCTGCAAACAAGGACTCTTTTGGCCTTTTTGCTCCCATGTATACTCAGCGTGGTAGGAGTCTATAGGACAGGACAGATAGAAAGGCACACCCTGGGGGACTGAATGAACTGTCCTCAAATGCACCGATGATAGTGGAGGTATCTCACGTTTGGTCCGGTTTCTTGACTCTTGGAGAAAAGAAAGAAAGGGGGGAAAAGGGAAAGAGAGCGATCAGAGAGATCAGACTAAATTTGTTCCTGGAGTCTACAGCAAGATTAATAAATGTCTCATCATTAGCTACCTTTAACTGTTAAACTGCATACGTTTGTTTTCCCATCCACGATATTCTGAATGCTCCCGCTGCAAAGACGAATAAAACACGTTTCAGTGAGTGATGTTTCTGCAAGATTTTTTCCCCTCTTTGATTATCTGTCAATTCAATTCTGATAAAGAATATGCAAAGGATTCATTTCTACAGCTGTTTCAGGTATTGTGCAAAACATAATAATAAAATGTGCCAGAGGGTCTTGGTAAGACTGCTGCTCGCACTTACGGGACAGTCGAGGTGCATCCATCGTTAGTCCAGGCACAGTATGGATCCCGGGCCAGAACACATTCTTCGCAAGACTTGCTATACTCCTGACAACTCTGAAGGTTCACTGCAGTTATTCTCTCAGCAGACCCCACAATTAATGTTTTCTGAGCAAAGGAAGACAAAAATCTAAATTTACTTTAAACCTGGATGAAAAGATTTTCTTTTTGGTGAAATTGTAGACTCTATAGCCTGCTTATTGATAGATTTGGCTTTTCCTGGCGCAAGACAACTAATGCACACGAGGTGTTTGTCAGCTGAAAATAGCTGTATGTGAAGCACAAAAGCAATGACCCGACAGATAAAATGCGACGCTCTGCAAAAAGAAATAGCAACATCATGTTTCACTGAAGGTGGGTGCTGACAGCAGCTGAGAGAAACACTGATGCCAGAACGGCAAAAGCACAGTGCTCTGCACTTAGTATGGCATTTTAAATGAACCCTACCTTTTTAGAGTCAAGCTTCATTGACTGTATGATTGAAGAGTTGGAGAGCTGCGTTTCAGATATGATAAAAGGTTCTGACCCAGACTCCAAGACTTTATGGATCTTCCCGGAATCTGTTGGAACAGGAATTTGATATTGTGTTATTTTTTGCAAGTGATATATCTGGCTAGGTATTTTTAGCTTATTGTTCCTAACAGATATTACAGACAATGCATTCTTAAAATGTAAGACAATTGAAAGGCAGCGAAGGCGCTAATGACAAAACAAGATCCCAAGGACCCTGTGCTGTTGAACAATGACATACCAGTAGCTAGAAGCAGAATGTTATAAAATCTTTGGTCTGCAGCCTGAACTCTGTCCACGACTATCTTGGTGTAGTTGTTGGTGCTTATATAAAAAGGATCTGAGTCAACCCAGTCGGCCATTTCTGAGTGATCCTTCACAATATTGACTGTGTGACGTGGCAAAGCCTTGCTGTTCGTGGAACACTGAAAAATAAATGCAAAAATAGTCTGTATACTGCATGAAAGGCAAAATAAATAGTCTGAATAGTCCAAAAACAAAGCACAGACAAACTTTTCCACATCGTGAATTACAGGGGTGGTTTTATTTACAAAATATAGCAACATGAACAGAGAAAGGACCACGGTCGGTATCAGCCCCTTTTTGAAACTTGCATTATGGTTGTGCCACAATGAGGGGAAACTGCAAATACAAAGGGCCTTCATTTGTTCCATTTAATCTCAGTGGATGTCAAATAAATAACCACAGTCTCTATGATGGAAACAATGAATGTGATGAAACAGTCCATGCACACAGCTGTTCCCATGTCCTTTTTTTTTTTTTTTTTTTTTTTAAACCACAGGTCGTACTCATGCACATGATATAGAATAAACTGCTTAGACTGCATGAGAGCAAAACGAAAATAGAAATGTAAAAAAACTATTTAGAGGAAGTTGTCTGTAAATTCTGTTTCTGTAAAGTAACATAGCAACATAATAAAGTTCTTACCGTTCCTGGCCTTGGTGTGGGAACGTTGTCGTTGTAGCCCTTGAATTTGGAGTTCTCAAATATATTTTCAATCATTTTTATTGTATAGATGCAGACTGCTGTAGAATTCCTAGAGGAGATATAAGAAAGAAAGATTGCCAGAGCGTTCATCATAGGTTTAAATCATCTGTGAATTTGTTATTGCCTCAGCTCATAGGAGTGGAAGAAGGGCAACACCCTTGAAGAGGAGGACAAACAGTTGGCCAACAGTCTAACATCATGCATTTTTGGAGCTACAGTCCTAAGATACAAGGAATGGAAAGTCATGTTGCTAAAGCAATACTACCCATCGTGATGTTTTGCTTTTGATTGTGGTGTCACTGTCATGTTTGCATGTTGCTTAGATATTAAAAATGAAGCATCTAACCAGTTGCTCGTGAAGAGGGCATAGACCCTGGTGTCTTGCCAGTTGTCTGCGTGCATCACATAAACATCTTGGAGGCGGTTAAAATACAGCGACTCCTTTGGAATTCCACACACAAGACGGGCCTTGAGAAAAGATGTCCACATGTTCTGGAAAAATCGTTTTGATCCACCTTCATCCACCTGAAATATGATACCGACAGGAGGAAACTCATTAATTCTGCTTCGGCTGAAGGTTATTCGATACAGCTGCCATTACGTTGAGCTGTATCAGAAATGTGAAACGAGAACACCTGAACACTTTTAGGGCAAGTCTCGTTTCGCACAGATGTCAAGCGAGGATCCCGAAAACAACATTTTAGCAAAATGAAAGCTTTTCGCGCTGGTTAATGTAAAGTAGATGAAGTCCAATTTTTTTGGTATTGGTGGTGGGTCAAAGGTTTGTTTGCTTTTGCTTTGTTGTGCAAATGAATATTTTCTTGTGATGGTTTTAAACTAACATGACTAATGCAACATCCTGATATAAGAGGAAATACTGGGTGAGCATAACTACTGCTTCCATAAAAACATAAAGCCTAACATCAACATCAAGCACCTCTGAGCTGACAGACTTTAGTATCTTGTTTCCTCTTTATGGAAAATTATGCAGATTATTACGGTAAAAGAAACATGGCAAACCATCACAAAACAATATTAGAATTATTCACAATCGCTGCCTTTAATTTAGATTCAGTACAGCAGGCGGTGGTAAGCTGAGTTTTTAAGCTCATCTCACAGGTTTTGTGTTTTTTTTTTAGCTGTGTACTGTACTGTTGATGTGTCAAAAAAATAAAAAAATAAAAAACTGAACTGACTGACTCAACCTTCCCTGTGCTGTGCTATTATCACACCCTCTCACACATACTGAGCCAATAATGCCTCTCCTTTATTTTAATGGGCATGATCACATTTTGCCATTCATTATGAATATTGTTGTTCTAAAGCTTACGACATTATTACAACATTTTCCAACTGTGTGCCAAGTGAACTGAAACCCACTTCAAATTTGCTTCAAGTACTTTGGTATTGGACATACTCTGTCAGTGGCAGAGCCTTGTACTCATGCCAAATGCATTCGCAAAACTTTATCCAATTGTAGATCAAATTAGACTGAAGGCCAAGTTCAAAGGTGGGTGTGGTCCATCCTATGAGGACTGGGCACAAAGGGTCCCAGAATGAAGGGGCACAATCCACCCTCCAAAATGCTTGAAAAAGGTTTGCTTATGTAGTCACAGCAAGACTTTTGATTGTTCCTAATTCTTGAAAGTGAGATGAAGATGTTTTAGAGAATTTATCTGTACGCAAAGTTGAGTTTCATTGATGTTAGCTCAGCTTTTTTCACCATACCTTACAAACTCTGGCAATCCTAGATATCAGTGGGTCAGCCTCTCGGTTGTGGTCTGAGTTCTTCTCACGGAAAAAGACATAAATTTTCTCATTGTCTGGGTCGTCCTTCCGCTGCACCCATGACGCAGAGACGAATGTGGGCTCTGTGAAAACATGATAAAAAGATTATTTTTTTAAAAAAAAAGTGTTTACAGTGTAGCGCGAACTGAAAAACCCCCAAAACAAAACAGAAAGCCTGCCACATCAAACTTGAACCAAAGCATAATTACCCTACAATGAGGTGAGGAGTGAACAAGACAAACTTTTAAGTCAAACATATTCTGATTATACGACACCAATGTATTAAATTACAGTAGTTTTCCTCCATTATAAAATAAGAGCAGGTATTTATTTACCTGAGACCCAGCTGTCATACATCCAGACATTAGTCCTGTGGCCAGCTTGTCTTCTGAACTGCAATGTACTTCCATCAGCATCCAAAGGTGCTGCTGCATACAGATCCCCTTCTAAAAATAGCCGATACACCAAATTGACAGGGGCAAAAATTTTGAATTTTTGAATAATCAGTTACATTAATCTGCACACTGATAATTAAAACCTTGAAAACATGGTAACTACAAAAGCGGCGTGTAACATACCTACTGTGAGCGATAGGGAGTTCTGTGTGGAGATAAATGGAGAGATTCCTGTCCCGTCACGACTATCGAATATTTCAAGAGACTGATTGTTCACTGAAGGGCGCTGCAGGGTCACAGAGAGTCAACAGAACACAGTGACATTACTTCAAGAGAACTGTGACGGGAAACCACAAAACACCAGACACCCAGCACCTTCATTAAATTATAGATGAGGGCGCCCAATTAAAGTTTAACAAGAAGCACCAGAGCTCCACTCCTTAATTGGCTTTTCTCTGCTGCTAGTTTATGGAAACTAGTTTAGTTTCCATTAACTTGTCACAGAAGTGCAGAAAGTCACACACTTTTAGTCTACGGTTTAACACATTTAACACTTTTTAGAATCACTCACAAGTTGCCAGCACTCTGGTTTCTGTCCGTTCGTCCCGCAGACAAACAGGTTGTTCTGAAACTTCTCAATGACAGTGATAACATTTTCACAGGGGTCCTATGACACAGAGAGAACTTTGTTATGGAAACCGATTCTATATTTCATTTTCACAATGCATTTATTAGCACATCTCTGATCATTCTGTAATCACCGACCTCTTGGCATTCCTCTTGCCCCGTTGCATTCAGATGAAATTTCTGTCAACACATTGATTGTAGACAGATTAGCCATGACTTTAGCAACATTTCAAAAACATAAGAAGCATCTGAAACAATCACTAAGAAACTAATTACAACACTGTCTACAGAAATAGCTGTCTGATAGATTAACAAAAGGATAGACTAAAACCAGTTCCCTTAATTCAAATGTCTTCTTGATTCCCTTCAGCTTCTCTTCCCACAGCACGACATCCATTAGTGATATCAATGATAAGACCCATTTCTTCTCTTATGGTCAAGAATCATTTACTTATTAAAAATTTAACATTAAGATTAAAAAAAAAAAAAGTCATACTGAAATTTCTGGTTTATTACATATTCTATTCTTAATGATTCTGTCGGTGCCATGAGCTCAGCACCTGGACCTCTTAATGAGCACTTTGAGGCTACAGTACAAGGTCTTGTATGGCAGACAGACGCTTATTAGGACTGTCACAACCATCTGTTGGTTTTAATGGCTACTGCTTAACCCCACAGGAATTGAGGGGGGAAAAGAAACACCATCAACAACATAATAAGAAAACATAAATAAAGAACATCGTTAGTTTACGATATGTTGCTCCAACCCACCTCTATGACGTGGAAGTCGTCCACATTGAGTTTCAATATAAAATCATTGCCTCCCAGGTACAGTTCATCTGAGCCCTCCTCATAGAACAACACACTGTGGTTCTGATTAATTTGGTATTCAAGCCCAACGCTTATATCTGGAGGGTGAAAAAGCATCTCATAATCACGCTTTAATCAGGAATTACGGCATTCTGCACTTACATCAAAACACGAGAAGATGAATCGGATTTGTCCTTGCAGTGTTTTTGACTAAAGTGAATAGGAAACACACACTAGAGCTTTCGTAATGTAATACTGCCACTGCGTCGATGTTAACGCAACCTACCTTTGCTTAGAAGTCGAGGAGTATTTTTGGACCCGAGAGTTGGTGTATCCTTCAAACCAGCAGAAAGAGCTGGCTGTAAATGCCCGACAAGCCAAAATAAAGAGAAAAGAAAACGCTTCATATTGCGCCTTAGCTGCTGAGCTGCACTACAATCCCTTTGCACCCTCAAAATCAATCTGCTCTACTCGCTCCATCCTCTTGACTATAAAAGCCTCGTGGGCGTGGCATGCTGTTCTGCCTTATATAAAACACAAGTCTTAGAAATATATGGATTGTTTCTTGTGTTAATTTAATATAAACATTTCTTCTTTATTCGTGGGGTTTGCGTCACCTATCATATTAAAAACCTCGTATAGATGACGTTATTTATTGCACTGGGCTGAGCCTGTAGCCCGAAAAAAAAAGTCGATTGGATAGTGATAGTCTTATACTGCAAGATCAGACTGACTGTAATCCTTTTAACACCGACTGCTTCACTATTAAATCCTTTCGTAAATCGACCTTACTGGAAGCGAAATTCTGGACACCCTTTAGGTCCATTGTTTTAAATGAACCTTCTTCCTCGTTACAAGATAAATAATGTCGAGGAAAAAACCTATCACCAAAAGTCATTTATTTATATCACGTTTGGTTTGAATGAAGTTTCTACGAGGATTACAGGTCTGTGGCATTGTAAATGCTGTTCAGGTAGTTTACCTGCAAGCAGCTCCCCTGCTTTGAAGCACAGTCAGCTGCGCGGGTCTAATGGCGTTCTCACGAGATCAAGATGTGAGATATGTTAACAACTTCTTTTTTATGGAGAAAGGAGAAAAATTGCCACAAACAGAACACCAATGCGTTCCCAGGCCAGCCGAGAGATATAATATGGAACACCTCACCAAGGAGGCGCCCAGGAGTCCTTGTCCCTTGTCAGATGCTCAAACCATCTCAACTGGCTCCTTTTGATGTGATGGAGCAGCGGCTGTAGTCTGAGCCCCTCCCGGATGGCAGGGCATCTCTAATGCTGGGCTTACACTGTTTTGAGCCGATTTTTGAGCCCAATTTTGGCCTTCATCGTGCAGTATACGTGGGGTAACGAGAAGCGATTAACACCTCACGACCAGCTCCCGATCATCAATCGCTTGGTCGTGAGGATTTCAAACACGACCGTCGTGAGGGTGTCGCCGCAGCCGCTCACACTGCGCACGCGCAAACACATAAACGTCGGTGAAAAAGTGCAGTGCAGCGTGTGAACTGGACACAAGCGATGGAGGCACAACTTGTAGAACTTTGGCAAGCTCATCCGAGCCTTTTTTTGATGTGGCCTCACAAAATCATCACGACCACAACAACCGTGAAAATAGTTTTATTTACATTGCTGCTCAATCACAGCTGCCTGATCAATGTTTTTCATTAGCAATTTAGCAAAGGTGATGATGGTGGTGTGTGTGTGTCTGTGTGAGTGAAAGAGTGAATGAATAGTGGCATTGTAAAGCACTTTGGGTGCTTTGAAAAGCGCTATATAAATCCAATCCATTATTATTATTATTATTATTATTAAAGACAGAGAGGGAGCGAGCGACAGATTTTTTGTTATAACCTTCATTTTATGGACGCACAGTGTGAGCAATCGGGTCGCATCAGAGCATCGGACCGTGTAGTGTGAGACCCTGAATCGTGACCTACGAACTTCTAACCTCTGCGAGTCAATCGTTTGAGCAGGAGCTGCAAAAATCGCACAGTGTCTGCCCAGCTTAAGGGAGAGGCCAGCCACCCTTTGGAGGAAGCCCATTTCCAGCGCTTTTATCCGCGATCTCGTTCTTTCGGTCACTACCCAAATATAAATAGTAAATGGTAAATGGCCTGTATTTATATAGCGCTTTACTAGTCCCTAAGGACCCCAAAGCGCTTTACATATCCAGTCATCCACCCATTGGTGATGGCAAGCTACATTGTAGCCACAGCCACCCTGGGGCGCACTGACAGAGGCGAGGCTGCCGGACACTGGCGCCACCGGGCCCTCTGACCACCACCAGTAGGCAACGGGTGAAGTGTCTTGCCCAAGGACACAACGACCGAGACTGTCCAAGCCGGGGCTCGAACCGGCAACCTTCCGATTACAAGGCGAACTCCCAACTCTTGAGCCACAATCGCTCAGTAAAGACATCAGGATAGATAGCAAAAAATAAAAGATATACAGTCTAGAGGAACATATACAAACTAAAGTAATATATACAAAACAACCACTTTGCTTACAAGCAAAGTGGTTGGAAGCACTTCAAAGGGACTTATGCGAGAGGCCTGAGTGATGAGGGTTACTCAGACCAGATTGGTGAGGTGGGCAGCGGTGGGTGTGGGGAGTGTTTGTTTATAGTCACAATGGCCCACCGGGAAAAGCTGTTAGTCAGTCTGGAGGTGTGGAATCTGAGTGACCTGAGGCGGTGACCAGAGGGCAGCGGGTCACACAGGTGGTATGCTGGGTGCAAGGGGTAGCCTGCGATGGGTCTGGTTTTTCTGAGACAGGTGGAAATGATAATGGCCTATAGGGGTCGCAGAGGGCAGCCAATAATTTTTTTGGGTGGTGTTGACTACCCTCTGTGCAGGCTTCCTGTAAGCAGTAGTGGCCCCTGCATACCAAACACCCAGGCAGTAGGAGAACACACTCTCCACTACTCCTTATATTTTAATGTTAAATCAAATACTTGCTGGGACCAACAGAGGTAGTAGATAGTGCAGTGTTGTAAGCAAGGAGGTTTTATACTGAAACTGATTGGTTGATGTTCAGTTTTTAGAGGTACATTTTAAAATGTTTTTTCTGCCTTTGCAAACTACACCTCTACCACCATCTCTGCAGAATTACCCCACACATTTTAATTAGGTGGTCCTTTTTGGAGTCTCTGGGTGGGTTTGCTCTCACTGGTTCCACAGACTAAAAACCAGCAATTAACTTGGAAGTGCAAAGGGGAAAGCAAAATATCCTTTTAGAGTTCCTTAAAGTGTAAAAATAAGAAACAATGTAGAAAAATATCAAGAAAAACAAAAGTTACATCTGGCAGATCCTTTGAAACAGGAGAAAGGGCACAGTTAAATAGTTATTTTTGTATTTAATGTGGCCTAAAAGCTGTTTAAAGAATCATGTGTTTAAGTGTGAGGCAGGTTTTCCAGCTGTGGTATTTCTATATTTGCTTTTCAAGATGACCATGTGTCTTTTTCCAACATAACAACTTGAAGCTGCAGTTTTTTTTTCGTTCTATCATTGTGGCTTTTTTTCTGTACCGGAACACAAACAAGATGCTTTATTGCATACGAACACATCCTTTTTTACATTTTCCAAATAAACTTATTTGTCTGAAATTGTAAATCTAACTTGTGGTTCCCTGAAGGGTGTCTCACAATAAAGCCCTGTGTTCAAAATGTCACCAACTCACTCATAGTTTTATTATATTCATATGCACAGAAAGAGGAGTTAGAGATTACACAGAGTATTGAGCTTAACAAGCAACAACATTTATGCCCCTTTCTGCAACGAAGCTCAGTTTTTAATCAGGTGGACAAACCGCACAGAGATCACAACGAGGGCACTGGGAAAACCTTCCACATTTCACTAATATTCACATTTCAGTTACACCCTGAACATTTTTCTCTTTTGTTTTACTGCTGCTTATTGTGTGCATCCATGACTATGTAAATATTTTGCTCAAGTCCTCTTAGCTCTGTAGAGGTTGTCCACAAATGCTGGAGTCTGTGTGATATAAACTGGTCATGCTTGCCGAATGTAGTTACCTTTTTCCTGTTGGTCATTGCAGTCTGGATAATCCACATAATTGTTGCTATAAACCATTGAGGGACTGCCACACAATGAATTTTAAAAACAAGACCATAAAAACTGGCATGAATCCCTGTGTGACCGGGGAGTTTTGGTTTAAAGTATTTAAATGAAACATTAAGAAAATGGATTTACTCAGATTTTGGATGCACAATTTACTGCAAATGTGTGTGAATTTGGCACTGAGAACACATTTTGTGCTAAATGTGGCTCTGCTGTGTTCTGTTAGAAGTGTTCATTTTTGGAATTGGGTGGGGCAGATGTTATCAGTAAGTAATCCAGGAGTGTACAACTCCAGGCTTCAAGGCCGGTGTCCTGCAGGTTTTAGACATCACCCTGGGTAAACACACCTGAATCAAATGATTAGTTCATCACCAGGCCTCTGAAGAACTTCAAGACATGTTGAGGAGGTAATTTGGCCATTTAAATCAGCTGTGTTGGATCAAGGACCCTTGAGGCCTGGAGTTGGACACCCCTGGAATTTTACAATAAGTCCCATCCATTGGCCCTTCAATGCGGTAAAGACATCTTCTTTTTTATTATCTGTTTCTCCTGCTCCTCCTCATCTTTCTTCTTCACCACTGCTTTCTCAACTCAAGATTCATCTTATGAACTGACATCACGGCTCTAACACAAGACAATGTGCATAGATATACTAATTTTTCCAGATATTGCCGTAATTACTTATTGTCAGCAGATTAGACATGTGATCCTCCCATCTACGGACAGCTGACAATCAGCCGGCTAAACCACAACAACAGCTGGTTAAGCTAACATTATGCAAGCTATAATGTTAGGCTCAAGTGTCCTAAAAGTCACACTCTCCCTATACATAAAAGTTACCCTCTGACAAGCAGTTTGATTACATTCTCACATTGTATGAGAGAACATCACAGAACTGGTTCTAAGAGAGTGTGTTGGAGAACTCACTATGACGTTGACATCTCTCTTTCCCAAGCTGTGTTGCCTGTCTGTTTGTAAGAGGTCCATTATTTCCCCTGTGCCTAGAGACTCAGCTGTGAAAGGCATTACCAAGAATGGCTGATTTTATCCCACATTAAGGATTCGGTTGACATTATGTGGATCCACAACAGTATGAGTACACGAAGAGTTTTTTCTGATGCACTATCAGCTGTTATCAACCCTGCTCTAACTCATTTACAAGAAGTACTGTTGGCAGAGAATCATGGGCTTATTTGTCTGATTAGAAACATAAAACATACTGCACAGGAAAAACTCCCTTTTAACAGGAAGAAACCTCCGGCAGAACCAGGCTCAGGGAGTGGCGGCCATCTGCTGCGATCACTTGGGGTGAGATAGGGAAGACAGGATAAAGACATGCTGTGGAAGATAAGATAAGATAAGATAACCTTTATTAGTCCAACACGTGGGAAATTTATTTTGTCACAGCAGGAAGTGGACAGTGCAAAAGTTATGACGCAAAAATTAGAATACAACGCAAAAATTTGAATACAATAAGAATAAATACAGTACACAGCTGTACAGAATAGAATAAAATAATATACTATATACAGTAGAATAAAATAGAATAAAAATATACAATAAGATAAAAATAGAATACGAATGCTATATACAACTGAGTAAAAATACAACGATGCCAGAAAAGATTATTGCACTTAGTGTTATTGCACATGTGTGGATGTGTGTGTTTGTTCAGTTAAAGTCTTTGTTGTGGAGTCTGACAGCAGTGGGGAGGAAAGACCTGAGAGAGAGACAGAGATTAAAACAAGTATGATTCAATGCAGAGAGGTCTGTTAACACATAGTGAGTGAGAAAGGTGACAGAAAAGTCTGGGCTCGGGAGAACCCGAGTGCCCTGGAGGGACTTTCCCTGCCGGATACACGATGGACGGGTGGCAGAGGATCGTGTGCCTGGCGGGACTGTCGATCGAGGACGCTGAAGATATCTACCTATTCGGAACCATGAAAGTCTCTGATCGGAGCTGGCTTGGCCCTGGCTTATCGGAGAATTAAGAGAGCGGAACCGGCTGTTCAAACCCCCACAAGGCTGCCCGCTGGGATTGGAACGACAGGTGCGACTTCTCAGAAAGGGCTCACTGAAGGCAGCATGGTTAAGAGCTTGGAGGCGCTTACGACTGCAGTGAATGCTCAGAATAACACCTTTGAGCGTATGTATGTTGGATTACATCAGGAAAGAATCAACTCAGAACAACATCTCTGGGCGGAGCTGGATTACACCTCGGATCAGTTGGCTGCGGTCGTGAGGTCTCAGAATCTGCTATGTGAGCAAAAAGAGTGACAAGACCACAGAATCGACGGCTAATAACATCACGGAGAAGCTCGCAGCTATTAACGGGAGACTGAGAGACCAGTGTCGGAGTGTTAAAAAACAGCTTGAAATTCTCAATTACCATCATAACCGGCTACCCCTTCGGCGCCACTGGCTCAAGGCTGGAGCCGAACAACAACTCCCTGATAACGACTGTGTTGAGTCTGTTCCTTCCCATTCCCTACAAGGCCACCTGGGTTGGCTGGAAGACTGTTTACTTAGCCTGGCAGGGCGAAGGACACTGTCTCAGCTGAACTATGGACACGCACACACATACATATACTGATACTGATAAGCACTCACTGACGCATCACCCTCCCTACCCCGGATCCAACGCCACCTCCAACGCTTACCTCCCCCATGATGTGGACATCGGGTCAGCTGGAGGCGCAGTCGAAAGATTGCAGCGGTCCCAGATCAGATGTACACACTGGAACTCTTTCCCATGTTGCTTGTCTGTGTTTATTGTGTTATGGTGTGTTGATACCTGTGCATTCCTGTATTATCCTTTTGTGTTGCACATTTCAATGTTTTTTTTCCTCGCTACCTGGCCTGACCTGTCTCCCCAATGTGATGTTTGTATTGTATGTACGGTCGGCAAGGTCTGTCATCTCGGTTGTGGGCAAAAGACCTGCAACTGACAAATAAAGGCTATCTCATCTCATCTCATCTCATCTCATCTCAAAAGGAAAAACTCAAATGCATCATGGGAATCCCCCGGCAGCCTATCGTCTATTGCAGCATAACTAAGGGAGGATTCAGGGTCACCTGGTCCAGCCCTAACTATATGCTTTAGCAAAAAGGAAAGTTTTAAGCCTAATCTTGAAAGTAGAGATAGTGTCTGTCTCCTGAATCCAAACTGGAAGCTGGTTCCACAGAAGAGGGGCCTGAAAACTGAAGGCTCTGCCTCCCATTCTACTTTTAAATACTCTAGGAACAACAAGTAGGCCTGCAGTGCGAGAGCGAAGTGCTCTAATGGGTGATATGGTACTACAAGGTCATTAAGATAAGATGGGGCCTGATTATTTAAGACCTTGTATGTGAGGAGCAGGATTTTGAATTCAGGATTTTTGGACATCCTGATAATGATTACAGTGTCCAGCCTAGAAGTAATAAATGCGTGAACTAGTTTTTCAGCATCACTCTGAGACAGGATATTTCTCATTTCAGGAGGTTTGCAGATGACACAGCTATTGCTTATCTTATCTCCAACAAGTCTAGAATAGAATAGTCCTTTAATTGTCCCACAAGGGGAAATTTGGCTGCAACAGCAGCAAAAAAAACACATATACAAACAGAACAGGACACGGAACCGAAACACACACAGTTTTCACAGAAATATTTTTTTATATCATTATATCATGGACAATAGTAACAAAAACAAAGTACTGTACAGAGTCTATCTAAAGGAGAGAGATGGAAGAACTTGTTCTTGATCAGTGGGGTGAAGATGAAAGAGATGGTGGTGAATTTTAGGACGGGCTCACATGCCTCATTCCCTCCTTAGAGCAGAAGCTGTGGAGTTGGTGACCACAGTCAACTACCTGTGTACGCATATGTCCAACAATTACTCACAAATACAGACAATATTATTAAGCTCACCAATGCTGGTGAGGCTGAAGCAGGATGTCATCGGTGCAGCTCTACTTTCTTTGTTAGATTGTGTGGTTGAAAGCATCCTAAACTCCTCTATGATTAGAAACTGCGTAAGCCAATAAGAAAGTGCTGCAAAGAGTGGTTTAATCTGCCCCCCCCCAAAGAAGGCTGCGTAGCCTCACACCTGTACAACAAGGCTGAGGTGCAGCTTTTTCCATGAGGCTGTGAGGTTAATGAACTTGGAACGAAAAAGAAAGACAGAGAAATTGTCCAGGGAGAAGAACTGTGCTGATGAAGATGTTCAGACAGGTAGAGATGAACATGAAGGTGTGCGTCATAACTTTATGAGGGTGGCATAGAAATCAAATAGGGTGGCAAAATCAAAGCCTTTTTAAACACATGTGCAGGTGTTACATATGGTTAAATTGATTCAAATGCAGTAAGTATAAACATGTTTCATATAAATATAGTCTGTAAGTTAATTATTTTCTGTAGCCCACATAATTAAACTTTTCAGTTACACTATACATTTTGATTTTCTGTAATGTACAACCTCCATAATAAATACAAACGGCATATCTGTCTGTCTGTCTGTCTGTCTGTCTGTCTACGTACCTATACGTACATATACGTATATGTATGTGTACCTATATGTATGTATACGTGTGTAGATATATGTAGAGATATATAGATATCGTGATTCCGAATTTACTGGCCTGTCATTAAAATTATCAAACCTTGAAGTCCACTCAACACAAGCTGAAATACAGAATCAACGTGGCTGCAGCTTGTTGCTATGTCAGCTTAATCGCATGCTGGTCATGTGATTTGGAGGTGTGGCACACAGAGTGATAATGACACTCACCTTCATTCCATCTTCAAACTGTTAATGCTATTTTATCTTAATAAATGGCACCATCATATCGTTAGCTTCATAGCATAAGTGCCTAAGTCATTTTTTTGTGTTTTGTGTTTCAGACGGACAGGATGATGCAGCAGTGGTAGGGGAGTAAAGTTAGGCAAAAATCTCAATTTGACCAAAAAATGACTTAGGCACTTATGCTATGAAGCTAACGATATGCGAAATTAGGGTGCCACGTGCCACCCCATTCCACCCCATTCCACATGTATGAATATGTGATCAGTTATAGCTGACTAATTTATGTTAACTGTGCACGCTTACGTGCTCTACCATGCGCATGCACGTCACCTGCGTGTACTTTATGATATAGTACTAAACCTCTGATTAAATGAAAAAATAAATGCGGACCTTACATCTAACCCACACTAAACTGTCTAACTCAGAAAGAGAGAGAATGGGAGAGTGAGAACAACCTGCAAAAAAAGGAGGAACAAGGGTGCTGCAGCCAGACCGTCACGTGACCTAAGACGTCGTCCAATTAGATGCAAAGAAAAAAAACTCGTCTTCCGGTTGTCTTCCTTCTTCAACAACCATGGTAAGCTCGTTCGCTCTTTATCTCATTATTTAATGCTGTCTAATTCATTGATAATTCTGTGAAATTGTCCGATTATATAGTCGCTTTACGTATTAACGCAATGACGGATAATTTACCTCAAAGGCGTCGAGGTTTAGTGCTGCTGCTAGTTAGCAAGCAGGCTAAGCCAGTAGCCCATTTTTCGAGCCTTCTGTGACTGTAAATACTGTAGTTTTTGCACAGTGTATGAACTTATGAGTGACCCTCTTTGTCCTAGCGGTTCCGTTTCTGTGGAGACTTAGACTGCCCAGATTGGGTACTTGCCGAAATCAGCACGTTAGCAAAAATTGTGAGTAAAAGAAACCATAAGAGATAAAGTTGTTACTGGCACCAGTTTATTGATTTAAAAAAATTTTTTTATAACGAATATATTTTCTATTCCATTAATGTAACAGTCAAGTGTCAAGATGAAGCTACTTTGTGCTCAAGTGCTGAAGGATTTGCTTGGAGAGGGCATTGATGTAAGTTGTTGGACATTTCTACAGGCTCGTCATATGTAGACTGTAGTTTTGAAACACACACACATCTGTGGTGTCTTCTCTCTTGCTTCATTTACAGTATGAAAAAGTCGGAAAGCTTACTGCAGATGCAAAGTTTGGTAAGTGTCTCTTGTGTTGTTTCTCTGAGAGAGATGCAACAATTACATTTCAAGGCGCTTAACATTTCTGTCTGCAGACATATGACTGGCTCTTTCTATTTAGATTCAAGATTCTAGAAGTTCCAACTTTATATTTTTATAATATTTGATCTTCGTGCATTTGATCAATCATAACATCTGCCTATCCTAACTGACCAGTAACCCTCCCTGTGGGAATACAAGTATTTGTTCACTTTATTCATTATTGTTGTTATTATTATTATTATTATTATTATTATTATTATTATTATTTATATTTATGTATTAACTGTAAAGATGTGTAATTACTATGTAAGATAATGTACTTAAAATGTGAAAATATGTACTTAAAGTATGAAAATATATAAAAAAGATATGTATATAAAATCTCCAAACTATGGATCACAACATTTTTAGGCAAATCTGGCATGATCGATCAGATAATGTTACATGTATTTGATGGTTTGAGATGGAAATTATTTATTTATTTATTTTTGTTAATGACGCAACATTTAACTGTTGTGGTAGTTAGGGGGGAATGATGGCTGGGGGTGGAGCTGGTTTGATTGCAGAGGCCAACCAAATGGCCTCTGCAGTTACTATGTAAGTTAATCTCTCATTTGAATCAGTTAGCTTGTTGAGTTCTATTATTTTGTTAAACACTATTTATAACTAGCGTTTCATTAAGTTGACTTTTTTATGAGCCCACTTATTTCTTAAAATAGTGTTAAAGCAACTCCAAAACGACACAGCAGACACAGTATTTGTGCAATAAACCATTGTTTGTGGAAAGCAATCTTGACCGATGGCTATTGTTTGAGCTTCCCTGGACAGGTCTAGCTACTCTGCCACTAACTCAGACTCCTCTCTCCGCACACCCTCCCAAGATGCTAACGCATAAAATACAGGAGAGACCTAATTAGGTGATCACTGCCAGCCAGCCTCCTGTGGCACTGCCCCCTGATATTGCTGCATCACCCCTACCTTGCAACTGTTGCAAACCACACCCTGTCCGTACAAGCTTATTTCCATGAATGTGTATTTTTGATATTATTTTGAATCTTTTTGGGGGAGATATTGTAACCCAGATTTTGTAAATTACACATGTGCCTCTAAGTCTTTGGCTGCTTGGTCCTTGATAAAAAGGTTTTGTGACTATGCCTGTTAAAAAGCAGTAATCCTACCTCATTTAAATTTGAACATTGTCAGGTTCAGCTTCAGGTTAATTTCTCTGGAAGTAGTGCTGTGCAGCTTCTAACACTGTCTAAAAAAGCAGCAAAGTCCACCATATTAAAATATTGAATATTTTCTTAAACCTTAATTTCATATTTGAGAAGAGTACAAAGCTACAAAAAACAAACAAATCTGGTTGCTGGCCTGAAGCTGGTCTTGTTGGTGTGGAAATGAAGTTCTGAGCTTTCATAGTGTTGTTAGTAGTTGCTAAAAGGCATGATAGCACAACCCTGAGTTCACATCATTTGTGGTGAGTTTTCTTCTTCTGGGCCCTGAGAACATTACAGTAGAATAGTGTCTTAACAGTTTAAACATTTGGGGGTTGAATTCAGTGGCCAGGCCTCATTCTCATTCATTCTGTCGTTTGTGCTCCTGACTTGACGTGTGACCTTTGAGCTTGGAGCCTGCATGTTTTTTCTGTTGACACCGCTGATTAGACACATGGTAGTAGCCAGAGACCCAGATCGCATGACAAGTGATGATCTTGATGATAACAAATGGGTCAGTTTGACACAAGTCTGTTTTCTCACTGTGCCACTTTGTAGTTTATCATGAATGAGTGGCTGGACAGGTGAGTTATTAGAACAGGACTTCATGAAAGTCATTAAAACATAGCAAGAGCACTCAAAGGGGTTCATAAGTGCACAAGAATTGGCTTTAAAGCATTAAAATTCTTTTTTTATGGAAGAACAGAAATTGGTGATTACACATTGTAAATGCACTAAGTTGTGCGGCATTCCTGGTCTATCTAATTTGCCTTACACATAAGTCTTTAACACTGTTCAACTTAAATTTTTTTTTTTTTTTTACAATTTCTGTCAGATAAGCTGTTTTGTGTCAATCAACCATTTTGCAGAGAGCGGAGACATCAAAGCTAGTGTGGCAGTGCTCAGCTTTATTTTCTCCAGTGCAGCGAAGCATGATGTTGACAGTGAATCTCTATCCAGTGAGCTACAACAGCTTGGCCTGCCTAAAGGTAAGCCTGTGTGTTTGTGTCCAAAGGTTGGTGTAAAAATAAATGCAGTCTACAACTTGATATGCACCAATCTGTTCTCATGCCTGAATCTTTGCCAAGAGCAAGGACAGCCAAACTTTCTAACAAAAACACAAGTGACTAGTTTAATCTAATATCCTGGGGAAATGTCTCACATGGGGATAATGTGGAACAAGAGCAGCTAAATGCAGAGTTTATGTTACAGGATTTTAATATTTTATTTCTAGAGTATGAGCACAGAAGTATAATAGAGGAAGGATTTTAGAAACTCCTGTATTGCATTAGTTCAAAATGATTTATTGTGTTTTTTAACAAATGTCCTCAGGATGATGTCAGAGGATATTATAGCTATTAAATGGGTGTGTAAGGGATCATTTTTGCCAAGTGAAACTGGTATACTGAAAAATGAGAAGCTGTAATGTATTTCTGTAATTATTATTTTTTTTAACGTGTGCATGTGTATGAATGCATGCTGATTGTTATCATTGTTTTTCATATTGTGAATTGATTTTTGACTTAGTGGAAAACTGTCTTTGGTTCACTAACATGGACAGTAAAGTTATTCTGTTCTATTGTTTCCTATTCATGGCCTGTTGTGTTGGTTCTTTCCTTTTTAACTACATTCTATGAATGTGGATTGACAATAAAAGAAAAAAGCAGTACATCATGAACAACAAAGGCAATGCTGATTTACAGACTGGGTGGTGCATTGCTGTATCAACAACTCTATAAAAGTGGTGTTAACACATTTGCCTTACACATGGACAATCCCTCTTTTGAGGTTGAGTGGAGACACAAGCTAGCACGCTTCCAGTGGTCCCTCCCTGCATAAACCACAGCTTTGTGTCAGGAAGGCCATCTGTGCCACATCAGTCCACCCTTTGGAAAATAAGAAGCCCAAAGTTTCACCATGATTTTTGTGTGTTTCATTATAAATAAAAATGACAGATGGCTTTCTGCCTGAGATTTTGAGATTGTATGTTATGTTTCAGAAATAGTAAAAGGTTTATTTTATTTGATAAATATGAAATACTTCTAAGGACTTTGTAACTGTTAGATTTTCTTTTTAGTCGTCTGGTAATGCATAATTAGTTCTTCAGCTAATCGTCAGCTGAAACACTCAAATTATTTTTTTTCTACTCAATATTTCTTTAGAGCACACTACAGGGCTGTGCAAGTCCTACGAAGACAAGCATGTTGCACTGCGGGAGAAATTAAGAGAGACAAGCCTGAGATGTAAGTATTTCTGCCCTTCCTATTCAAGAAAGAAGAGAAAATTAATGATGGCTGCTGCTGGGAAGTTGATGACTGAGCACTGGCATTCTGCTTTGTGATCAGTGGGTCGACTGGACTCTGTTTCTTGGCGAGTGGACTACACTTTGAGCTCCAGTGAACTGAGGGAGGTGAATCAACCAACAATTCAACTTAAACTGCAGAGGCAAGGAGCAGAATCAGGTGCCCCAGAGACAACTGTGGTGTCTGTTTCTGCTGACAAGTTCAGAGTGCTGCTTGCTGGTAAGTTCAGTATCTTTTAAAATACTTCCCTTTTTGTTGTCTTTTAATTTGCCAGACCTGTGATGTTATTTTTTTGTCTCTGTACTTTTTCAGAGCTCAAACAAGCCCAGGTTCTAATGAACTCACTACAATGAACAACAGACGTGACTTTCTGAAAATCGACGATAATGATGATTAACTGCCTAAAGTGCCATACTTACAAGTTGTACAGTGTTATGTATTCTTCCTAAAAAAATGTAATTCCTTGTGTCTCTCAACTGATATTTAGTTGTATTTTTCTACCATTTTAGTAAAAATTAGTAGAAATGTGTCCAGATTGTGTGATATTTGTTACTGAAGTAAAAAAATAATGATCATTGTTTAAAAAAGATGTTGCTTGTATCACTCAACACATTTAATTATGTTAATTATTTGTGTTTTACCTCTGTATGCTTATAAATAAAAACAATGTAAAACGTATCCGTCAAAAAGTGATGGCCAAAAAGAACTGGATTGATTATAATGTAGGTACAATAACACCGAATCCATAAGATACTTGTGACACATATGATTTATTTAATACATAACGCCTCCGTAAATGATGTTGATTATAGCCAATTTAACAATGTGATCAAAGATATTAGACATTTTAAAAAAGTTGGAAATCACTTCCTGGTTTCCGCAGCGCCTACAATTCCCATCATGCATCGGTTTATTTGCTAGGAAACCCAAGTCTAGTATTTTATTTTAGCCGTTTTAAGTGAATAATAACAGCTAAGAATGAAAACCAAACAAACACACGTACACATTAGACCAAAAATAAATAAGAAATTGTGGGTTTTGTCACGGTTGTGCAGGTCTCGCGACATTTTAATGACTGGCGCGTGGTGATTGTACAACTTGTTTTGTAACACTGTTGGTTACGCATGTGATAAAAGCATTGGTCAAACGTTTAGCTGCACGGTATTTCAGCACAAAGACATATCCTCTGTAAATTTATATCAGCAGCTGCTGCCGTGCAGACAGTAAACGCTACAAGCTGATCGCACTTAACGCCGAGCTCCGTTTCCTGGTTTCGGTGAGTTATGTACTTCTAATTTGATAAAGATGCAGCATTGCCATTTTTTTTAACAACATGTTTTGGTTTATGCAAATACACAGAGCAGTATTTTGCTGTGATTGGATTAAGAGCATATTCAGGAGAACCTCAGGTTTGAAGTTTAATGTTAAAGCTTTGAGATTTTTTTAGATGTGCATTGTGTTATTTTTTTTTAACCCCAAAGCTGTATGTAAACATTTACAGTCATGATTGCAAGTGAGAAGGTTTTACCCATACTCCTGCACTCTATAGAGGACACAGGGTTCTGAAACATGCGTTATTTGGAAGTAATGTTATAAGCCTGGAAGTGACATTTTTTGACATAAGCTTTGACCTAATATTTGATGACAAGTTTTATTTCTGGAAGTTTCAGCCCAACCTTATTTGTTCAGCCAAAATGCCCGAGGGACCAGAGCTCCACCTGGCCAGCCTGTATGTGAACAGAATGTGTGAAGGAGTGCTGTTCAGTGGTCCCGTCATAAAGTCAGAGGTCAGCAAGAACCCTGATGTGCCCTTCACCTCTGAGGCCTATTGCATCACAGCTGCTTCCAGAGGGAAGGAAGTGAAGCTCACGCTGACGCCCATAAAGACAGATGAACCAAAACAGCGAGTGAAAGCGGGACAAGTGGAACATCCCATGGACATAGTCTTTCGCTTTGGGATGTCAGGCTATTTCCGCTTCACCAGCGAGGATGAGCTGCCCAAACATGCCCACTTGCGTTTTTATTCCAAAGAGAAGCCCTGCAGAGTACTTAGCTTTGTGGATCCTCGCAGGTTTGGGAGCTGGGAGCCCAACGGGACCTGGCAGCCTAGCAGAGGTCCCTGCGTTATGTTTGAGTACAAAAAATTCAGGTTAGTGATGCTGAGTGTCACTTGCGTCTTCTGCCTCAACGCAATACAGTAGCACGGCCACACTGATCAGTAAAAAAACATTTTCAGGGAGAATGTTGTGACACACGTGTCTGACCGAGCCTTTGACAGACCCATCTGTGAAGTCCTGCTCAATCAGAAGTACTTCAACGGTATTGGAAACTACCTGAGGGCTGAGATCCTTTTCAGGTGATGCGCAAAGACAACATTACATAGATTAGCATGAGGGCCGCACTCATACTGACCTAATTAGACAGTAGCATCTTATGAGGATGTACAGCAAGATCTTTGCACTCGACCGGTAAATTGTTATCTTATCACCAAATCTGAAGTAAGGTGCATATCTCTACCCCTCGAAAGATTTACTCTGCTCTACCATTTTTATTCTGACTGATGTGTAAACATTCATAAAAAAATCATACAGGATTTTTGAAACATTTTAATTTTACTAATACCCATTATACAGATAATTGAAGACCTTAACTACGGCAAATGGATTGTTTCATTAGTGATGACTGAAGGTAGAAACAGTAACAGTGATATCAATGGCTTAACTACACAAGGTTTTGTTGAATCAGAGAGCTAACAAGAGTGTTTTTGTTTCCTAAAAGAAAAGACCTTCAGTACTGTTCTTTCCCTTTTTTTTTTTCCTAGGTCTAACATCCCTCCCTTTGTGGCTGCCAAAACTGTGCTGGAAGGTCTTGGGCCGGACGATTCATGTCAAAATGAGAATCCTATGAAAAATGAGTCAGACACAAAGGTGAAAAAAGTGATTTTTTTTTTACATAACTTTCCCAAACCCTATGGCGTTATTTTTGTGACTCTATTCTGAGCTCACATAAAAAATGTTGCAAGTACAAATGTTGCATTTTGAGGAGAAAATTATTTTGAGCAAAGAAAAGTTTAATTTGAGCGAAGAAAATTCATTGCTGCGTGAAAGAAATGTATTTCAGTGTTTGCTATTATCCATATACACACACAATAACAGCCCTGTTGCCCAGTTGTTGGCATTTGCTGTTGCTCAGATCTCTGCTCTGTGTGTTGACAGGCATCTGCAGACCTGCTCTCAGTGTGTCGCTCCCACTCTCAACATCTCTGCTCCCTGTATGCTCAACTCTTTCTCTACACCAGGGGTGTCGAACTCCAGGCCTCAAGGGCCGGTGTCCTGCAGGTTTTAGATTTCACCCTTAGTCCACACACCTGAATCAAATGATTAGTTCATTACCAGGCCTCTGGAGAACTTCAAGACATTTTGAGGAGGTAATTTAGCCATTTAAATCAGCTGTGTTGGATCAAGGAATCACTAGAACCTGCTGGACACTGGCCCTCGAAGCCTGGAGTCCGACACCTGTGCTCTACACTTTATATATGTGCCACAAAATAAACCAATCACAGACTTGGATGCAAAAATTCTGATAGGCTGTTTTGGTCTCCAATCAGCTCGCTAGCTACTGCATTCCGGAAACACTGTCCAAAGTGTAGCTAAACCCAGTGTAGTGGTTTGTTTTAACCTAGATTAAAAACAAAAATGGTCTTTATATTATATTCTAAAATAAAATAATTAAACATACTAACCAAAAATGATTTTAGCTACACTCTGGACAGTGTTTCTGGAATGCAGTAGCTAGCGAGCTGATTGGAGACCAAAACAGCCAATCAGAATTTCTGTATCCAAGTCTGTGATTGGTTGGTTCTGTGGTACATTTATAATGGTGTAGAGAAAGAGTTGAGTGTGGAGGAAGCAGACATGTTGACAACGGGAGCAACACACTGAGAGCAGGTCTGCAGATGTCTGTCAGCACACAGAGCATCTGAGCCAGAGCAAATGCCAACAACTGGGTGAGAAGGGCTGTTATTGTGTGTGTGTGTGTGTGTATGAATAATAGAAAACAATGAAATGCATTTCTTTCACACAGCAATGAATTTTCTTCGCTCAGAATAATTTTCTCCTCAAAATGCAACATTTTTGCACTTGCAAAATTGTTTCCGTGCACTCAGAATAGAGGGACAAAAATAACGCCATAAAACCCAGACTCTTTCTCACAGTGTCTTTGTTTTATTCTTCTCAGAAGACATCGGTAAGAACAAAAAAGAAACTGATGACACACCAGACGGATGACTTGCTCAGTCTTTGTCATACAGTCCCTCTGGAAGTGGTGAACCTCGGTGGGTAGTCAAGTGTTTACAGTATGAGTTGCTCATGAGATGAACGCAGTGTTTAACAACTCGTGGTTTTTAGGTGGGAAAGGATATGATCCAGCCAGTGGGGACTTCTCCGACTTTGAGGCATGGCTGCAGTGCTACTATGTGGACGGGATGAAAACACTCCGGGACCATAATGGGAGAACAATATGGTTCAGAGTGAGTTTAAAGGAAATGCAACATAACAAAGCCAGATGATTTTATTTGTCACACAATTATGTGTCTACCTTTATAATTTTAGGGGGATCCAGGGCCCATGGCACCAAAAGGTAATGTTCTCAAGAAGTTTAGCAGCTCAGGTGAAATGTACATGAGAATGTCCATTAATTAATTTTTATTTATTTTTTAAGATTCAAAGTCACCCAAGGCAAAAAAGTGGGCAAAGAAAGATGATGACCATGATTACACAAACAAGAAAAAGGTGAGCATGAGCTGTCTTTTGACCAACAGTGAGCTCCATGTTACTGTGCAAGAGTCTTGAGCAAACCCTCACTTTTTTTCTTTAACTTGCTTGCTAAAAGCAAGAGCAACAAGAAAACATCCAAAGAAGAGCTTTGAATGTTCCTCAGGAAGTCTGAAGAACTATTCCTGTAGACTTCTTAAAGAAACAACAAGAAAGCTTGCCTAAGAGAGTTCAGGCTGTGTTGAAGAATAAAGGTGGTCATACCAAAAAAAATAGAAACAAGGGGTGGCTCAAGACATTTGCACAGTCGTTTGTATCCAACATCAGTTTCATCTCACCAGGGGGCCAGAGAAAGGAAAACAAGGATCAAACAGGAAGGTGGGATGAAAACGCCAAAGAAAGAAAAGGATGCAGGTCTAGAGGAAGCTGAATCAAAGAGAAGGAAACTTGGCGAGACGCATGAAGTAAATACACCCCAGCGTGAAACAAGGTCAAATGCACGTAGGAGAAAGACCAGTAGTGTGGGAGTGACTGCAGGTGCGCCCATGAGTAAAAATGAAAATATTTTACCTAGTGGGGAGAAATGAAAACTGATTTATCTCATAGCTGTCCTTGTTGCAGGGTCACAGAGACGAACCATGAGAACGACCAGGTAGGATGGTAAAAGAAGAGGCACCCCCACTTTGGACACTTATGTTTTTATACTATTAAAAATCCTTTTTTATTAATAAAAAAGTTTCTTCAAAACTTGTTGTACAAATTGTTTATTAATTTGATACAAAATAATCAAATCAAATTACTTTTAAACGGCGTATAAACAGTACCAATCATATAAAGTGTCCTCGTAAACTGTTAGTAAAACAGCAGCCAATTCAATGTAATCTTTAGCTTTCATGTAATGTCTAAGTGTTGATCTGTATTCCACTTCCGTAAGGCTTAGTGAAATCCCACATGTTATCACATGATCAGCAATAGTGAGACAATCTGAAAGGGATTGAAGTCCAGAGTGATTCCTTCTGATGTAACCGGTACTGGCTGGTTGGGGTCTTGCTTCTCCAGGAGGTCACAGCTAAAAGAGGAAAAGACAAAGCTTTACTCATACAACACAGGAAAAAGAAAAACTACCAAACTAAAATAGAAACACTTACACCCAAGCTTCCCTGACTGGAAGTGCGGTTCTCAGAGTTGCAGTCACGCTGCTTCCATGCGACTCGTAAAGGCGGACTACGAGCACCCCACCTCTGTCCTCAGCCTGTTGTGGTAAATGATTAAAAAGCGAATAAAATGAGCTCATTATTTTCAGGAAGGGCAGTCTAAAGTTCCCACGCAAGACGATACAGATCTGATTGTTCACTTTGATACCTGCTTTATTGTCTCCAGTACGACAGCTTGAGAGGTCACAGAAAAGGCACTCCAGGGCACAGTGTCGGGGCTGCACTGGATTAACCTCAGAGGGAAATTGAGGTTGTAGGCGCACTGGATGACAGAGGCTTCTTGGAAGGATCCTATACAAACAGCACAATATTACATTAGACACAAATAACCAAACGTACTGGGTTTAAGCTTAACTTCTCTATTTCCAAGATCACATCAAAAGGAAAAAAACAAACAAAAACAGTATAACTTACTTGTGTGTGGCATGATTGCATATGTGAAGTGATGAATCCCTATGTCAGCAGTGGCATCTGGGGCCTTGGGTGCTCTCAGTCTGAGATAAAGTGAGATGCAGGAGTTAAAATGTTGTATGCCTGAATTGTACTGCTTGTAGGAGTGTTGTAAATAAACAATGGGAACCTCACAGGGAAAGAGTCATTGTGTCCTTGTGCACAGAGTAGCCGTATTTGCAGTCGTTCAGCAGTGAGACTCCAAAATTGTGCTCTGACAAGTCGGCCCATTTGTGACCCCAAACCTGAGAAAGGAAACGGATGACACAATGACATCCACGAGTAACACTTTTGTTACAGCAGTGAAGTGTGACATAACAGTGAAAATTTGTGAATTTTAAGGTGAACACAGCTTTACAGTGTCGTACCTCGAATTTAGCCCAGTCCCACGAAGTGTTGCGATGAGTGGGTCTCTGCAAGTGGCCAAACTGGATCTCGTAGGTAGCATTGGGGCTGCGAACTCGCACAGGAAATTCAACCTTGAGAAACTTGTGAGATTCTGCCCACTGAACCTGAAATTGGAAGACGCAGCACGTTTTTTTTTGCTGAAAAATAAATCTTACATGCCTCAGTGCCACATTTCTGAAACATTACAGCCTACTTCTGTGCTGAACTTGATGTAAGGACACATGGCATCCATGATAATCTCCTGTGTGATTGTGCTCTTATCACTGATCCTCAGGGTGAAGCTGACACTGCCCCGCAGTCCGCCTGGTGACACCACATGAACTGGCTGCACCACCTCTGCCACTGGTTTCCTATTAAGTTTGTTTTTTCTGTTAGTTTTATGATACTGATATACTGAACAGTACTAAAATATTTGAACTTAAATGCATTTGACAGCAATGGCTGAAACCTTGTCTGGAGATGGTAGTCCATTACATCCCATGCGTCCCAGTACAGGGGGACATCGTCAAACATGACAAACTGGTTCCCAAGGCAACCATCAGAAATGCTTTCCCTGAAATCAACACAGTGGTGAGAAACTCACTGTTGCTAGTACAGTAGTAGACAATATGCACCTTTTACACGTCTTACCTGTTTGCACTGATCAAACACAGCGATGCCAAAGTGCCATCTCTGTTTATGGCTGTCTTTAAAAGACCATTCTCCATGACGACTGTGCCATCAGCCTACAATTTTACACAGTTAACTAAATCAAATGGCAAAATAGATGAAATTTATGCAATCATCTTTCTATATGTAGCACACACCTGAACGGTGACAGAAACCGGAGTCACTGGCGGTGTGTCTTTCACGGGAGACACACCGATGCTGGAAGCTCTCACCAGAGCTATAGTGCCACACATAACAGTGAACGTCAGATATGAAGTTCATTGTGTGAGGAGCACAATATAGATATACTGGAAATACACAACAAACCTAGACCACTTTTTTCAGCTCCCTCTTGAATCTGGACAACTTCAAGACGTTCCCAAGGCAGAGAATTGAACACTGCCATGGAGCTGCCTTTTGCCACCAGGGCTTCACATGCGTCACGCAGAAGTGCGGCACCACCACTGCGGATATCTGAGACAGGATGTGTGAATCAGAATGTGAATACTTTATTAATCCCAGAGGAAATGATGGGGGCACAGCGCTCCAGGTCAGTAAGAACAGTAACTACCTAAACGAAATTAAATATTACAATATATTACAAAGTTACAAAAGCTCTAATAAATACAAATGGCTCAAATTAGAAATTTCCCAGCATATTATGCTAATTAAATAGTTAACATTGAAAACTTTCTGGAAACTGTAAATAAGCACTGCGCTGATTTAAGCTGCAATTAAAAGCTGTAAAAACTCACCTTCATAATATTTCAGAGCATCCTTCACCACCATCTCTATACAGCTGCCAGGAATCACGTCGTGAAACTGGTTTAGTAGAAGCAGCCTGCAAATGGGAAATTAACAACACATTTTCAACCTGCAGACACAAAGACTCACAGTGTTTAGTCCAATAAAGATTGTGTTTGAACCTCCAGAGCTCTTGCAGTTTCTCAGCAGGGTATGGAAACGTGTTGTTGCGGTACAGCGCCAAGCTGCTGGCTATCTCAATATCATGAAGCAGCGTCTCACACTGGCGGTTTCCTCTTTTTATCTAAACAAACAAAAAAAAAAAAGGCAGGCAATTAAAATGACATACAGCAATCAAACACATGAAATATTTTTGAACTGAAGCATAATTTTATAGATGTAAGGTATAAACTTTGCATGAATCACTGTACTAAGCAGGATTACGTTCTGTTCTACAGGTAATAGTTCTTAAATCCCTTTATATACTCTTGTGTATCTTATCTAGCTACTCTATCATAATAATTAACTATTCCTTATAAATATATTAAACAATCATGACTGTATAGTGATCTAAGCAGCTTCCCACACAGTCTACCTAATTGTCAAAGCCGCTATCCTATGTAAACCTACTCTAAGAAAAAGAAAAAAAGAAAAAAAAAAAAAAAAATTTTTATATTATATATATATATATATATATATATATATTATATATATTATATATATAAAAATTTTTTTATTACAAATAGTATTACTGTGGTCACTCCCTGTGGTCTGTTTTCTTTTCCACACAGATGAACAAGTTGTGGACTATATAATGACGACTATAACTATTATTCTACCTGTGCCTGTGTGGTGTATGTTCCATTGTGTAGCTCCAGAAAGAGCTCCCCCGTCCACGTGCACAGCAGAGCTGAGTCAGCCTGCAGCCGAGTGAAAAGCTCATCAGGAGTGGACATCTGGACTCTGGAGAGATGAGCACGAGCTATGACATCTCTGGTTAAACCTTTGTTAGTTATTATGACGCAAATACTGAATGACTCATTGACTCTATTGAAATTTAATCTACTGTACTATTTTGTAAAAATAACACAATGACATAGCTAGACATAACTCATCCTTTTTATTTCCTTTTTTTTTTATTTAAACAAGCTTGAATCAACCTGATTTACACACCCTTCCCTTTAAAAACTCCTGGAAATGACAAAAGAAGAGTTATGACTAAATCGATCAAGAGAAGTGTTTCTGGATCATTTCTGGGCCTTGGTCATTGTTATCAATGAATTACATGTTAATGTAAGAGACAGGAACTGACTTAGGAAGTCCATTTGTGTCCTGAACAAGGCGCAGTCTGTCTAGCATGAGCTGTGTGGGTCCGCCACCACCGTCGCCAAAACCAAAGAGTGCTGCGCTGTGATTGGCTCTGCCCTTGTCTTTGTTATTTTTCAGAGTTTTTACCAGCTGTGGGCAGAGAAAGATCCCCCTGAATTAAATCTTTCATGAGAACAGACTCAGCATTCACCGTGTTTTGGATACTTTAATCTAACTTACATCTTCGACCTTGCCTTTCATTTCGTAGGAATTTCCAGGTGGGAAGTGAGTTAAAACTGTCGAGCCATCCAGGCCTTCCCAGAAAAACGTGTTGTGCTTTGAGAAAGAGAAATAACGACTGAAAATTAAAACCTTCAACTGTTTTTACAGACATGCACTGTGGGAGATGTGCACTTACAGGAAAGGTGTTGACCAAATTCCAGCTTAGCTTCTGGGTCAAAAAGTTGGAAATGCCACAGCCCTGCATTATTTGCGGAAGCTGAGCAGAGTAGCCAAACGTATCAGGAAGCCAGAACTGTGGGACATTTAAAAAATTCACATTAAATCAAATCAAAACAAAATCAAAAAGCCTCAAGAAATGTAGCTGATAAGCTGCCAGAAAGGTTAACTCTTATGAGTTCATACCTCTTTGCAATACCTCCCAAACTCTTTGTTAAAGAAACGCTGGCCCTCCAGGAACTGCCGGACCATGGACTCACCCGAAGGCAGATTTCCATCCTAACAGGCAAATATGTCAAATATATCAAGGCAGTTTACATGATATTGCCTTTACTTTTAAGATGAAGTTTACCATTTCCACCCACGTGCCTCCAACTGGAATGAACTGTCCTTTCTTCACATAGTGTTGAATTGAGGAGAAGAGTCCAGGGTACCAGCTCTTTACCCACTGGAACTGCTGGGCCTGCACAAAAACAAAACAGTCAAAACTGGTGGGGACTGCTCAGATATTCAGAAGTGTTACGAGACATGTAAAGCTATGTTAGTGTGAAATTACCTGAGAGCAGGTAAAGACGAACTCTGGGTTCTTCTCCATTAAACGAATCACTGTCACCCAACTTCGGCCACATTTTCTAATGGTCTCCTCATAGGGCCACAGCCAGGCTATGGGTAAAGAATCATAATTATTGTTAGTATTTGAACTTAACTGACTATTAGATTTTCACATTTTGTATATTGAAAAATAATACAAAATCTATACTACCTATAGAAATCTATTTCTTACATTTTTTTCATCCATTTCACAGTACTGTTACTGATGTTGCATAAATGCTTGTTATCCACCTGGATTATAATTTGTAAATGTGGTCTGACTGTGGGTATTCTCTGTCTCTACCCGAAGGTGGTGCTGTTCACCCTGTCTTTGTGAGTTTCCCCAGTGTGCTGAGTTTCAGTGGACAACTGATGACTGGCCAAAAAACTGATTACATAGATTTTTTCAGCTGTTTCCTTATTCACAAGCAGCCAGATCAGCAGATAAACAATACTTTCCTCTTCCATATTTACTTGCTCCTAACAAGACCGTGGCTTCAGTGGAAAAGTCTGTATTATGATTTCCATGTTAGAGTCTGTTTTTAAATGCAATGCTGCCTGAGAGCCTGAAGACCATCACATTTATTATTGTTTAATGGCCTCATTATGACTTTTGGTCTTGTCCACAGATTTTGTCTGGTGCTTTGAATCCTTTGACAATATTATGCGCCGTACATGACGAGATATTTAAGCTCTTTGCAATTTTACGCTGAGGAACATTATTCTGAAATCGTTCCACAAATTGTAGACGCAGATTTCTTGCAGATGGTTGAGCCTCCAAGATGCTCTGCTTATACTTAGTCGTGTTACTGACCTGTTGCCAATTTACCTAAATATTTCAAAATTGCTCTTCCAGCTGTTTCTTTTTAGTACCGCTTACTTTTCCAGCCTTTTCCTGGCCCCAATCCTAATTTATTCGAGACATGCTGCTACTATAAAGTTCATTAATAAAATACAGGTTTACAAGATTTGCGAACCATTGAATTCTGTTTTTATCTACATTTAAACAGTATTTTGACTGTTTTGGAAATAGAGTTGGTAGTTTTATTACAGCAGATCCACATCAACACCGGCCATCACATTTTAAGCAGCATATTGTAAGTGGCATTGACATTTTCCATCCACGTTAAAGTATAGTGATTACTACTTAAGGTGAGGAGAGCAGTGCCGACTTGAGATCTGTCGTATATATTGAAAATATCTGCTGTGAATAGTCCTGGGCTCTATTCCAGGAAGGCAGTAGAATAAGCTCTGAGTTTAAGAATAAACTCTGAGTGGATGAACTCTTTCCAAGTCTTTAATAAATGTAAAGTTTTATCAGTAAAGGCAAACATGTTATAAGAAATGTCTCAGCTGTTATAGATATTAATTAGTTTTGTGAGGATGAGTCGTTTTAAATAAAAATCACAGATCATGTTGGGGAAAAATAAAGCCATAACATTTCCAGGCAGGACGAGCTGGGAAATGACCGGAGCCGAAGTGGATGTAGGCCTGATCCAGAGCCGTTACAGAGCCAATGATGCCTTCAGATGAATCCTCGGAATCATCTGAAGGCTTAAATTTCAGACACCATACTTTTCAAAATGTTAACACCATTTAATGTCTGAATCTCAATATGTGAGCAAATTTCAACATGAAATCCTCAGAGTGCAATCAAACTCTCTGCAGGCTGCATTGCTCATCTTCAATCAAATGTTCACATCATCTCTAAAATTCCAGCGGTCATACATATTTTCAGTAAGTGCAACTGATTACAAACACGACAAATGACTGAGTGAGTTGTGCCTCTAAAGCTTTATGCACATCATTGTTAAACTGCGACTGCTACAGTAACATACAGTAAATGTCTGCGGTACAAGGAGACTGACTATCTGACACCATTAATGTCCACAGAGTTAGACTCATAGACACACAGATTTTATTCTGAGCTGATTATAAATCTGTTACATAATTAGCTCTCCGACCTCATATACTGAAGACTGAATGACTTTAAAATCACTATGGTTAAGTATACGAAATAGCATTTAGGTGTTTGTAAAAATGTAAACTTCTGCAGTTTAATTCACTCCGCTACAGTTTGGCACCATGAATGACGAAATGAATCAGTGTCAGCCACCCGGGTGGTTCTGAGTTCTCATTGTTGAAATGACCTCTCTTTCTGGAAAAGAAAACCTGAGTTTCCCTCATCTTACGTCGAGTTGTTAGTTAAACCTGCTTTTTGGAATAGAGCCCTAGTTTCTGAATCGCTGCAACCCCCCCTGAATTCTTTCTTCTCATAGTCTGGATTGTTTTGTTTGTTACTTTGGCAGAGCTCACCCTACAATTCTCATTGCATTTTGGACTGCAGTGGAACTGGTCATCTTTGGGAAAAGAGCGACACTTTGTGTGGCCAGGTGGACTCAACTAGGACTTAATCAACCCTAAAATAAAAACATTACCCGAGTCTATGTGGCAGTGACCCATTGCATGGACAGTATGCTGGCTTTCTCCATTCCGCTGGTTGAAGAAGGTGCCTGCCAGACTATGTACTTTAGCAAAAGAACTGGGGTCAGAGGGGTCACAGAGGTTCACCATCTCATTGACGGTGAAGAGCGCCTGGTAGCCTCGCTGCTCTTCCTCTCCAAGCTCCTGTGAAGAAGAGTACAGAATGTCATGTTTGGCTTACAATGTTTTTTTAAGTAATATATCATCATGCACTATTTTTGGTTGATAGTACCTTTACAATGTCAACAAGCATCTCAAAGTCTGTCAGCAGCTCTCTTACATCCCCGTTGAATACAACTAGCTCAGCTTTCTGTACAGAAAACTTCCGGTTTGGATCTGGAGGTGCAATCTGAGAGCCCTGACCAGCTCCAAAAAGCCCGTTGCAGGCCATTTCCACATACAGGGTGAGACTAAACAGAGACACAGACATGCGTAAATTTGGGGTTAAAGCTGTCTAAAAGATGTGGTTGCTGCTGATTCAGCAAAAATAAGATCAGATCAACTCACCTGTGCGGCTCCTCATCCTGCAGACACTCAGAGAGGATGTAGCTCATCTTTTCACCTTCTTTAGTCAGGCCCTACAAATACAAACAGCATGGATAAGGTGGAGGTTAAGCCGAATATTTCTGCACCTTTGCCTTTAAATAAATCTGCCGCTGCGTTACCTGAACAGGCTGCTCGTCTCGCCAAACCATTGCTTCTCCATCACTTTCCCACAGAAGATGAACCGCTTTTCCTCTCCAGGACTCTGGGATTTTCAGAGTGACTTTAAACCAGCAAGTCCACCACCTTCAACAATCATCATACTTGGATTAGTGCCAAGACCAGAGGGAATAATAAATCCCAGAGTGATAAAAATCTGTTAATCTTACTTACGTTGGTCCAAAGGTATCGCCAACTTTACATGGGTCAAAGATCTGTTTGGAAGCTTCTGCGAACGTGATCCGCTTAGGGGTGAGGAAACAGGCAAGTGATTCCAGGGGGCAAGAGTCTCCATAAAGCCTGGGAAGACCAAACCATTTAAAATTCATAGAAATCCATAATCATAAATCATAATCTCCATTTCCACGTTGAAGCTTTAAAATACCTTTATACTGAGACTCTAAAATCAGAAAGTCCTTTCATACTGGCTGTGTGACTGATGAAAATATCAGTTAAACTACAGCAGCCTTTTTTGTGGTAAAGTCACATTTTGAATTTTTACAATAAAGAAAAGTGGAAAAAAAAGTGCATTTCACTTAAAGGAAGTTGTACTCTAATGCATCATAACTACTGGGACACTTAACGCAATGTTGCCTGCAATATTGCATACATGCTTTCCACAGTTATTAAGAAAACAACTCTCTGTATAAATGCAATGGGCTAAATAAATTGCATTTTCCCCTCGCAGTATTTTGCAGTCACGGAGACTCACGCTGACGTATAAGGTAACAGAAAGCAACAACTTTATCTCTGCTGTACTACATCGTTAAATTCGGATTCTCCACGTCAGTGCAGCTGAATGAAAGAAACCTTACCGTCCTCTCAGATTGCAGTCAGTGAAGTAAATATCCGAGATGAATTTCTCTGCTCTCTCGAGGAGAGTGCGCCTGTTCTTCAGCACAGGCAGGTGATACATGACGACAAAAGCAACCAAACGCTCGCAGACTTGCAGCTGCAGCACCGAGAACAGCTAGACTTGATGTGAAAAATTAGCTCAATTCTTCACACGAGACCCCGGAAGTAATAAGGTTTTATTATTGCACTTGAAGGAATTATCCGCTAGATGTCACTATTGTCCAAAAAGAAAAACCCCGACAGTAACGAACACGTTTTATTCTTTAAGAAATCACGAAAGGCAGATTGACTCAAAAATGTAAGACAGATTGTATTTGAACATTTTTAATGATGAGTTTTGTCTGCATTTGTTGTACACAAAAAACTGTATAGCTCACTATGACAAACATACCATTTGCCACATCTTGACACATGTAATGGTGCATTTATTTTTAAAATCCCAAACAAAACAAAACAGTATAACAAGAATAAAATTTGATGAGCAGACAAAATAAATAAATGAGTAACAATTACAAGAAAAAATATATTAATGTGTTAAAGACCTGGCACACTGAGGGAGCATTTTATTGTGACAAAACGAATCACCTCATGCTTATTTTGCTTTAAGATTGTACTTCTCATTTGCACAGGCTTTTTAATCAGTCTAAACATTCTGATATAATTTCCAGTTCATCCATCACCTCCACACATTACAGCTTTCACCAGACAAACACGCTTTAACCAGGGATTAACAGCTCCACATGGTCATTACTACTGCAGGAAGATGGAACTGACTACGTCTGTAAAATACACAAAGCAATAACTCATCTCAAATTATACAAAAGAATGGCATGAAGAAAGGCTAAGGGAAACCTGATGAGGATAACATGTTAACTTTCCAGCAGTCCTGTGGTTAACTGTACAGCCTACAGGCCAACTAAGAAGCTATCAGGAGTGCTGGGGAGTTAGTCTTGTGATCCGACTGCCGGACAGAGGGTTAGGGGTCAGCCCACGAGTGGCTGGAAACACAAAAGCCTTTTTTTCCTCAACATTTTTCACAATGAAGGAGCTGTGTTTGAATGAAGCTAAGCACCCTTTTATTATGAAATCCATAAAGCAACTGTAAGTACAGGGTTGTTGGAATTGTGGTATAGCCCATCCCTCTAGGGCCATCCTATCATCAGAGATGTCTGTCAAATCCTATCCCCCTATTGTTTGAACTGTGGTTGGGCTTTCCACCATGCCGGGACAGCCCTAGGGAATGGGTGCCATGATCTGACTTGACCTGAGATTTTCACCAGTTCAGCTCTTGGCTCTTGCCTGGTAGACTCTGTGTGAAGCTCTCCTTAGGAAACACACCACATCATGTCAGATAAATAAAGTGGAATTAAAGAGGACAGCTGTTCCTCTTGCATGCAGTTTAAAACATCCAGCATGAAGGCCTACCATCTTCTGCCTGCCACAACACAGCAAAAGGACTCCAGATTGTGGCTTGAGAGAAAAAAGTACTTCCCAAAACCCTAGAGCCACACGCAAACTTTATCATGTGATGTGATTAAACCTTGCATGCCTTTATAAATCTCCAAAGTGACCCATGGGGCAAAAAATAAATAAAGTGAGTGATGCAAAGGGACAAAAGTCTTAAGGATGTTGAAGTTTCTGAGCTCCTTTGAAGTGTGATTCAGAACAAGGAGTTATACTCTTGAGCCATACTCGTCCTTGTCTCCAGTATTGTATCCAACATGCATGCCTTTGTCTCGTCCAGCAGCAACTCTAAAAAAAAAACAAAACCAACAGGTGATACTGTGCTTTAAAGAAACACAGTTATAGTTACCAGTGAGGTGTAAGAAATGATGGGGGGAGCATTTAGACAAAGATGTAACGTTAAACACCTTTCAATCCCTTCCAGGATGTAATTTGGAATGAGACTGTGACATAGCCTTTCATCTCCAAAAGTATGCATTTATGTGTTTTGGAAGGCATTGTCAGCACTGCTGAGCCTCACAACAATAAGGTCTTCGGTTTGAACATCCTGGATAGTTGCAGGCTGTGTGGCGTTTGCATGCTCTTCCTGTGTGTGGATAGATTTTCCCAAGATACTGCACCTTAGATTAATTGGTGATTTGAGGTATAGAAAGTGATTAAAAACACAAAGAATAAAGTGCTGTATGAACATATTTAAGTTTCACTTTAACTGCTTGAGTGGTCAGCAAGAAAAGTGCTGTAGATACGTCGGTCCATTTCTCCCCTCTGGTTAATACTAACCTATCCTTACATATTTAAACTAACATTGTTTTCCATATCTAAAAGTATGAATGCAGTAGTATACTCACATATCACTCCTCACCAGTGTGGAAGTTATCAGAATTTAAAAACAGCTATAACATTACTTCCTCTAGACATAAAATTCTACATGCTTGTTTTTCTAGGTCAATTATTTTCATATATTTGTAACTATGTATCACAAGAATTACATAATAAGTTACAAAGTAACCCCATAAACATTGTCTAGTGTCCTACTAGTTGTTTATAGAAAACCATAACTGCACAAAAATGGGTTTATGATTCATGTGTTGTCACACTGCCAAGGAGTGACTAAGAGTGGCACAAGTGAATGCACACACATTTCCCACCTATAAAATCCATTTAACGAGGGCACAACCACTATCAACTCCTGGACTTTTAAACTCTATATTTGATTGTCAGTTAAAGCAATCTGTCTCAATGTGTCAAATTTACATAGTGTTGTGTACTTTGTATTCCAGGCTCCATATCCAGTCATATAAAAAGCCAGTCAAATTCTTGTTGTACTTAGATATTTAGACTTCCTTAAAAAGTGTGGGGCAAACCAGGTTTGAGCGCCTTGACAACATTGTTCAAGGAATGGAAATAATCAAGCAGAGCAGATGTGGTTTAGTTAAAAAACAAAATGCATACAATAAGTTATTGTTCAGCAAGGGATGTTTTCTGTGATTTTGCCCTTTACCTACCTTTTTTGCCTTAATATGCAGCACATCAAGGTGACAATGAAAACAAGTCCCAGTGTACAGCTCACCAGTATGGGAACCAGTAAACCTGCAGAGCAGCATAAATATATATTTTGTCATAAGTGGCGATTATTGTTAAATAACAATTTCTAATGGGGTATGTTTATATTTCAGAGGCCTAAATATAAACTTGAATTTTCATGTGACATATCATAAATGAACAGAAATCAATACTTAGTAAGTCTTAATAATAAGGCTTTACTTTTAGACTTAGATGTGTTTAGTGATCTAAGAAATACTTAAATAATTTATAAATTATTATTATAAAACCTTCATGTTATGTATTGTGGCTTAACATGATTATACATGTCTGTTTAAAAATGTTTACTGAGCCTAAAGCAACGTACCAGTGTTTATCCAAGAGAGGTCGTCTGAGTAACAGAGAGAGAGAGAGAAATAGTGAAAATGCATTTTAACAGATTTTAACTCAGATAAGGAAAATAGTGAAAGGACGACCCATGACTGATAATAGAGGGAAAATAATTACATTTCAGTCATTTTCATAGGAGAAACAGACACTCATATGACACAAACATTGGAATTTTTGTTCCTCTAAAATTTCTCCCGCAGCCCATTGACCCATTTGAAAAAATTTATATAATGTATAAATGAATTATCTGTGAATAACGGTGAGACAGGTGTAATGGTGAAGATGCAAGGAATAGAGAAGGTGGATGAATATAAATACCTGGGGTCAGCCATACAAAAAGCAATGGGTGATCTACAAAAGAGGTGGAGTACAGAGTGCAGGCAGCGTGGTGGAGTGGGTGGAGACAAGTGTCTGAGATGATTTGTGACACAAGGATGCAAGATTGAGAGGGAAGCTTTACAAAAATAGTATTGAGATCTGCCATGATGTATTGTATGGAAACAGTGGTATCCTTAAAAAGACAGAGGGCAGAGCTGGACGTGGCTGAGTTGAAGATGGTAAAATTCACTAGGAGTGACCAGGATGGGTAGGATTACAAATAATTCCATCAGAGGGACAGCTCAGGTTGAGTGGTTTGGAGACAAAGTCAGAGAGAGACAGCTGAGATGGCTTGGACATGTGTAGAGGAGGGATAGTGGATATATTTGACAATGGATGCTGAAGATGCCAGACAGGAGGAAAGGAGAATGACCATAGAGAATATTCATGGATGTGGTGGAGGAGGACATACAGGGAGTGCAGAATTATTAGGCAAGTTGTATTTTTGAGGAATAATGTTATTATTGAACAACAACCATGTTCTCAATGAACCCAAAAAACTCATTAATATCAAAGCTGAATGTTTTTGGAAGTAGTTTTTAGTTTTAGCTATTTTAGGGGGATATCTGTGTGTGCAGGTGACTATTACTGTGCATAATTATTAGGCAACTTAACAAAAAACAAATATATACCCATTTCAATTATTTATTTTTACCAGTGAAACCAATATAACATCTCCACATTCACAAATATACATTTCTGACATTCAAAAACAAAACAAAAACAAATCAGCGACCAATATAGCCACCTTTCTTTGCAAGGACACTCAAAAGCCTGCCATCCATGGATTCTGTCAGTGTTTTGATCTGTTCACCATCAACATTGCGTGCAGCAGCAACCACAGCCTCCCAGACACTGTTCAGAGAGGTGTACTGTTTTCCCTCCTTGTAAATCTCACATTTGATGATGGACCACAGGTTCTCAATGGGGTTCAGATCAGGTGAACAAGGAGGCCATGTCATTAGTTTTTCTTCTTTTATACCCTTTCTTGCCAGCCACGCTGTGGAGTACTTGGACGCGTGTGATGGAGCATTGTCCTGCATGAAAATCATGTTTTTCTTGAAGGATGCAGACTTCTTCCTGTACCACTGCTTGAAGAAGGTGTCTTCCAGAAACTGGCAGTAGGACTGGGAGTTGAGCTTGACTCCATCCTCAACCCGAAAAGGCCCCACAAGCTCATCTTTGATGATACCAGCCCAAACCAGTACTCCACCTCCACCTTGCTGGCGTCTGAGTGCGGACTGGAGCTCTCTGCCCTTTACCAATCCAGCCACGGGCCCATCCATCTGGCCCATCAAGACTCACTCTCATTTCATCAGTCCATAAAACCTTAGAAAAATCAGTCTTGAGATATTTCTTGGCCCAGTCTTGACGTTTCAGCTTGTGTGTCTTGTTCAGTGGTGGTCGTCTTTCAGCCTTTCTTACCTTGGCCATGTCTCTGAGTATTGCACACCTTGTGCTTTTGGGCACTCCAGTGATGTTGCAGCTCTGAAATATGGCCAAACTGGTGGCAAGTGGCATCTTGGCAGCTGCACGCTTGACTTTTCTCAGTTCATGGGCAGTTATTTTGCGCCTTGGTTTTTCCACACGCTTCTTGCGACCCTGTTGACTATTTTGAATGAAATGCTTGATTGTTCGATGATCACGCTTCAGAAGCTTTGCAATTTTGAGACTGCTGCATCCCTCTGCAAGATATCTCACTATTTTTGACTTTTCTGAGCCTGTCAAGTCCTTCTTTTGACCCATTTTGCCAAAGGAAAGGACGTTGCCTAATAATTATGCACACTTGATATAGGGTGTTGATGTCATTAGACCACACCCCTTCTCATTACAGAGATGCACATCACCTAATATGCTTAATTGGTAGTAGGCTTTCGAGCCTATACAGCTTGGAGTAAGACAACATGCATGAAGAGGATGATGTGGACAAAATACTCATTTGCCTAATAATTCTGCACTCCCTGTATAGAGGGTGTGTAGTGGTTCCCTTTTGGGACCAGATGAAGGAAAAAGAAGAAATCATCTGTGCTGTGACGTGGATCAAGTCAGAATTTTAAATACACAAGCGCAGTCTAAAACTTTATCTTAACTATAGTTAACCCTCAACATTTTTAATTTGACTACTTGTTTAATCCTCCTCTATATAGTTAAGGTGCAGAATCTACACACTTCTTTTTCGTGGCATGCAAAATAAACATAATGTAGTCTAATAACTTGCTGTCATTTCTCCTATTTAAGCATTAAATTCTGTTCATAGATGTGCAACTGAAAACCTTTAATGCTTTATTATTTTATATAAATATAGAAGTGAAATGTAAAAAGCTTCCGTTACCCTGCAAAGATCTAAAAATCATGTTAGCTCAAAATAAATTCTTTTGGTTTAGCCACATTTCTACATTGTGTACGACAATAATTACTAGCATGGCTCCAGAATTACCATACTATAGGACTGAGCTTGGCATCCAGTAAAACACTTTAAATGGTCCTTGGCATCTCCCACTCGTACAAGTTGACACGTAAAGATTTTCACACAGGAAACTTGTCATTTTTTATAGTTTATTGAAAAGCATTGCTTAGCCAGGCAAATGTGGGCAAAGATACCAAAAATACTAAATTATTTTAAAAAATTAATATATATATTTTCAGAGCAAAAATATACACACTGAGATAGTCCTATCATTATACTGAGGACAGTCACTGCTGGGCACTGGTTTTGCATCCGATTGATTTTGTGCAAAAAACAAACAAACAAAATCTGTGACAAAGAAAAACTGTTAACGTTTCTGAAAACTACAAATATGTGCACACACAGGAAAGTAAAATTGTAATATCACGTACATAAAGCATAAACTGGTTAACAGAATGCAGGGCGTGGCTTGGAAATTTGGCTGTCATTGTGGGACACACAACTGATGTCTGCTACAGAAAGTCACACTGAGTTTCAACAATGCCAGGCATCTCTCTAGTCTTCCCACTCCATAGGCAAAAGCCAAGGATGTGGATAACCCTGGCTTTGTGGTTTCCTGGAAACTGTAGCAGTGGAATGACCATTATATTGTGTCATTGGCACGTCTTTCTCCAATGCTGTGGAAGTCTTTCTTTGATTCATCATGGCTTTAGTCAGGGAATGATTTAACTCAGTAGCCTCGTCTGTTGGCCGTCCCTGGAGAATATACCTGATGGTAGGGAGAGCTAAGTCTGATCTGCACTCTAGGTAGCTTTTTAGGTTAAGCTCAGGGAAAACTGCATCTCTAAGAGCCTGAACCATCTGATTCTCAGCATGGGACTGTTTGAGCTGGTGGGAAACTCTCTGTTCCAGTGAGACGTAGCTCAGTGTGTTTTCTGCTAGCCTGAGTTTTCCCACATGGCGGTTGGCCTGGCTTTTCTTCCCAAGGGATGGATTCAGCGTTTGTTGTTTGGATTTGGCCAGTCTCTCACTCTGCTGGGTTTTGAGGTCTTTCTTCTTGCCAGCATGGTGTTTCTCTGAGCCACTTGGTAGGAGCTTGTACAGGTCTTCATCAGCCAGGTCTCCTAAGTCGCCAACCAGTAGCTGCTGTATGATTTGCTTTCTTGTTAACGGAGATGTAACTGTAAGAGTACCATGCAGTCTTCTGCCTGCATCAGACACAGAGCCAATGTTGTTAAACATCCCCGCAAACTGGATGCTCATTTGGACGATGATGGATCTTCAAGCCCACCATGCAACAGCGCTGCTCATAGCGATACAGTAAAAGCTCAAGCTACTGTCTGCTAGCTAGCGCTTCTGAGAAGCTCATAGCATGGGATTTCACACTGCCATGTCACAGCACGTCTCATTAGGAAAGCATAGCTCTGCGTGGAAAGCTTTGAGGAAACCATGCACATTCATACCACACAATATGGACCTAAATACCATACATTGCGGTACACCAGGCAACCACATAAAAGTCAGGCTTTAGGGACAAATTTAAGGGCTGCAGATGTTTTCAGCATGTCAGAGGAGTGGTTAAATCAACATGTCTTAAAAGATGGCGTACTTCCAGACAAGCTCATCAAGCTCAATCAAATTTAAAAATGATCAGCATCAAATCTAAGCCACAAGCAGGTTACACCATACAAGCCAAAGCCAGCATGACAGCTGTAATCTCTGCAGCAGAATAAAAGCCCTCAATTCATTCAAATGTGTCTTTCAGCCTTTTTTTTAAAGCAGCACAGCAGCCATGTCGCTTATGTGACCTTTTCACCCATGCTCAGGTAATAAAGCAAGCCATGTTTGTAGACCATACTTACGTTCTTTGAAAGATGCCAAGACGAGCCGATTGTCAACAGGCTGCGTTTTCCTGTAGTTGTTACTCAGCGACATAGAGGCTGAGTCCTGGGCATTCGAAGAGTAGAGCGTTGCTGCTAGGGTCAGAAACTAAATAAAGCACAGCAAAACAAAAGCAAGTTTAGCACAAAAGCTTTTCCACACCAATAAAGTTTAAATGAGAGAAAGACGCTACACTGACACATCTTAAAATTTTTTTGCAACTGCTTTCTTATTCTAATATTAAACCTGGTTAAAAGTCACTTCAGCTGCTGAAGCACCTGTTGGCGAGAAACTGTTATAGGATTCCTGAACACCGTCCACAGGACACTCGGATAGCACGGAGGAGTCGTCAGTGAGCCGTCGTAGCGATAATACTCATCCAAACGTGTAGGCAGCAAAGCTCTGATGTTGAAAGCAGGCACCTTCACTTTCTGATCTGACAGTCGGAATGACAAAACAGAAATCAGCTGTTGGGTGACATTAGTGTAAAATCCATGACTGTCATATGAATGATTCACACCTCAAACTTTGATAAAGAATCACAAACACAGCTTATGTTTTGCATAGGCTTATGTTTACTCCACATTAGTACTTAGAAAAAACTAGTACTCAGGTCTTACCTCTGTATATAATACGATTTATGAACTTCAGAATGTGGTCAAAAGCTGGATTGAACATCCCAACCTTTATAGAAACACATATAATCAAATAGTTAGGTCTACTTTACAGAAGAAAACAAAATTACAGAACATTATCCACAAGGTCTCACCTCAACCAGCACACCCAGCACAGCCAGGCCATCAGATTTGTCCACGGCGGTGGAAATATTGGGATACTTATCTGAATTGTAATGCACTAGATGCAACTGTGAACAAAAAGAACAATATGTCAAGATCCTGTGGAGAAAAACACAAAACAAGAAGGTATTTTATGTAAATCACTCTCGTTTTTATAACTCACGCCATCTGTGACATAGTACTAATAGCAGCGATTTGGTGGGGTCATGGAAAAAGTGACACATACACTGCCAGATTGTTATGTACACCACTGCATCACTGCAACAGCCCTGTGATAAACCTTAAAGTACCTTAAGACTACTACCCTGTGTTCAGACTATTACTTAGTTTCGGGCGAGCATGGAGGTTGGTATATCATGTCATTATAACGTCTCTGCTCTCCATGTTATCTCCTTTTTATTTAAATGACAACTGTTATTAGTGTACACTTATAATAGCTGTTCAATGCAGAGAGTAGATGTTAGTTGGATTGAACATAAGTGGAGGTATTCAGAAAGCATTGAATGCAATCTTCTGTGGAAGAAAATACCAAAAGAAAATATTTTACACCAGCTTTCTTATAGCAGAACGTTATTCTATATTCTGTACAACCCAAAGGCTTCTTAGCCCTTCTGACCAAATAGTTTTATTTACAGACTTTGTTCTGTCTTGAGAATTAAGGAAGACCTTTTCACCATTTCAGGAAAATGTTCAATTTCCCATCATGCCATGCCTCCAAAACAACATGTCATCAAGGAACTGTGGTTCTGGAGTCTGGAGAGACTTGAAAAGACGCATGTTTTCGACATGTCCACACAGAAACTCAGGTCAAACCACAGCACCTTAAATGTGGCTGCACAGCAGCTGGAGCGTGGTCACATAAAATGAACACAGGTTGCAGTCGTTTCAGCAGTCGTTTCAGTCTGCCCACTGTAATCCAAATAATTCCAAATTATATACAACAGTATCCCATTTTCACCTACTTTACTTTAAACTTGACTTTCAAATCGTCTTCTTTACCTGAAGTGCCAAAGTAAATACATGAAACTATTGTGTGAAACCTGTTTACAGGGCTTCACACGTTAAATAGCACAGACAGCCGCTCATTTAGCGAAGTGGTTTAAAACCACAGTAATATAATAGCCTGGTACATACAATCCCCTAAAACCCTTTTGAGTAAGAGACTACATACCATCTAGCAATGAACATTCTGATACTGACCGATGTCTTTTTTCTGACTTTTAGAATATGCAACTAAATGCCAAATATGCTGATTTGATGATTGTAAACCAATGATTTATTTTGGTAAAAGAATCCTCTATGTTCTCTGTAATATTAGGAGTGAGGGTTTAGAGTTAAAGTTTTTATGCATATAATTTCAATTTACACTTGATTGCACATCAAAATAGGCAGCACGTAGAAGCAACACATTTGACAGATGGGTGTGAGCTACATATTTGCAGCAGTATCAACAAACCACAACAGTGACATGCGAATGCTTTTCATATTTCATATTTAGCAACATCATCTTTGAAGGGTGTCAGCGGCTTCGATTCCCCTGCCAGTCAAATGTCACACGTTTCAGTCACAAAGTATTAATGCTTTGCTTGAAGCCAGAGTTGTCACTTCTAAGTACAGATAAGGGTAAAACTTATTTAAATAAGCAGACACAGATAATCATATCTTTAAATCGTGACAGAAGAAATATTGTGTGATATTTAATAACCTCACTCCACTCTCTCATTTAAATATTATAACTTCTGTTTCAGTTCTGTTTACTTCAGTTTACTTTGTTAGTCCTCCTCATCCATATTAATTGAAGGTTGCTTTTCTCATTCAATTCAGTTCAATTCAATTTTATTTCTACAGCGCCAAATCACAACAACAGTCACCTCAAGGCGCTGTATATTCTAAGGTAGACTCTACAATAATCCCCACATTGACTATGGAAAGTCAGAGTCAGTGAGTCTCTGTGCTGGAATCATTCTAGGACTAAAGGTAGTCACCTACAAAGAAAAACATACTGTTTATTCATACATGCCAGAGGGATGAGGTGAGGTGAGGTGAGGTGAGGCGAGAAGCTACCTCTCAACTGAGAGTGTTGAGCTGGCAGGAAGACCAGTAGCAAAGAAAAGGCAGAAGTGAATCAGTAGCTAAAAGTTGGTAGAGTCAAGGAGAAAGTGAGATAGGCTACTGCTTGGTCATGACTGATGAGAAAGCTGCATCTTAGTCATATCACTTGCAGTTGATATTAAGATGGTACAGCTTATCGCCTAACACCATTCATCCTAACAGGAAATGAATGAGTTGATGAACCAACCAGAACGAATATCTGACATGTACATGTAGAAAGTTGCAAAGATATTGAAATACTTTAGGACAACTACCTTGAATTTGTACTTAAGTGTAGCACTGTAGTGCACTACTATCTCTGAGAAGTGCAGTTTGCATTGTTTACCTCTGCAGCATACTGCTTACTGTTCACCGTATGCTCAGAACCTGCAGGCTGACTGGGGGAGCCCCAGTGGAAATGGAGTTGAGCCGCAGTGTATCGGTTACGTAGGCTGGAGATGGACATCATGGGGGACAATGAAAGCTGCACTGTGAATCAAAGCAAATGAAAGCACACATCAACATAAAGAGTCATGACTGCACCAGTAAACACTGGGGCATCACAAAACATGAGCTTTATCTAAACTGAGGAAGTCAGCATGCCAAATCCCCAACCCCCCACCCTTCCCTATCCCCACTGTCTTGTTCTGTCATAGTGGTGTAGCTGCTTTTAAGACCATTTATAGCCGGGTGACGCAAAGTGCATTTCGCATGATCGTCAGTGCATGACGAATGCTTGCACATGAAAATGCTTTGTCAGCCCATTTGGAATACACGTCACACTGATGATGCCACTCAGTTTGTGGTGTTGAGGCTCACCAGGTATGCACACATAAGCATTTCTGTGTTATTTGCATTCTGTGTGCAGAAAGCAGTTTTGTTATGCAGATATAACAGCAATGCATCCTTGCCAACATTCGGAAGGCATGACATGCATCCTCAGCTATACATGATTGTCACAAAAATTCCTAATGGAGCAGTTTGTACATGATGTTTGAGGGAACATGACAGAAGCGTATCTAACTAGTTTTGCAGCGCACAGTTTATTGCATAGTTTCACTTCACTTCGCTATGTTCTAAATAAATATTGCACATTAAATTTAAGCTGGTTTCCTTCATTAAGATGCATCAGTCCAATCAGATGAGTAGTCTTTGGTCATATTTTCCCAGGCAGTTAAGATAATAAGAGGTTGATTATAGAAAATTGTTGTGGCAAATGAAGAAAAAAGATCTGCCTATCATTTTCCTAAGTTTGGCCCAGAAAATAGGTCTCCACATTTATGTGTGGACATTTTAATGAATGCATAGACAAGCACATCACTTTGATTTGAAAAACTTTTAGGTTTCAGGCCAAACAAAGCATGGCATACTTAAATATTTGCTTAGTTTGATACACACTGTCTTACTTGTGATGAGTGTAAGTACACATTACATCTTACATCGTATTGCACGTCTTACATATTCTTTGGATAACACTGTTGATGTATACTCACCAGAGTGTCCATTGTTTCCAAGAGTGAGCTGCTCATTTGGAGACAGGTTGTAGTTCTGAACCTCAATTGGACGTAAAGTGGGATCGAACCTTAGCAGATCTGACTTCAAGTCTATTGGTGACTGTAGCGCTCCACCACAATACGGATAATGCTGGGACCAGTGGTCCTGTCCTTGGGGTCCTGCAACAACATTAACATTATTACATTATGCAATTTTTGAATCTGAATTTACCTATCTGAATCTGAATACCTAGATTTCAATTTTAAAAGTGTGGATTCACCAGAAAACATTAGCATGGACATTTTTCAGAAACTAAACTGTTTAATGTTATCAGGCAAACATCTCACAGTGTGAGGCTAAACAGTGGGTGGCTCCAAAGAGGGCTAGAGTTTGTTTTAGTGTGTAATAAATGTTTTATCTTTGGTCCAAATGACTTATTATTATCTATAAACAAGATGGTGGGAGGAAGCCTACGGCTCTGCTCATGCGCTTTTTTTGAAGCAGTGAGAAAAGAGAACCAGCCTGCTGCTTGCAGGCAGCGCCACGCAGTGAGAATGCCGTCTCTCTCCAAATGAGAGGTTTCTATAAAGTGCAAGACACCGAAAATGGCCACATTTACAATTGAGTCATACGGTTTACAAAGCGACCTCAGTTTTTTTTGTCAGGGGGTTAACTCTCAAAAATGTTTCCTCCAAGGCCACGAGGCACAGTGTGCTTTAAAATAATACAGAAATTGGGAAACAATTATTTTTTTTAAATGGACTGAGAAGAAAAACAGGAAGCTGTTGAATGTGCATTTTCATTGTGTGATGTTTTAAGTGTAAGCGTCTATGCACTGAGCTTTTCAAACAACAAGTCAGGCTAATAGTTTGCAATGAATGGACTTCATCAAATTTGAAATGTCACATTTGTGACAAAATGGAAGAAGCTGTGCGTATGCTCTCATCTTGGCAGCACAATTGCTGCTAATTCATTATCTGTTTAGCATTCATCAAAAGATTCACCATTCACCATATGCCAGCTGACCATGGTTAAATATAAAAGATTGCCCCCAACCTCCCTCTCAGACACATGTGGATTGACTGTATAAGACATGCCAGAAGTCGTCAACCAAAGTAGCAAAATCACTGAATACTTGTTTGATGAAAAGCTCCAAGTTCAATCTAGGCAAACCGTCTCTAACTAAGAAGAAAATTGTTCTTATTTTACTTTTTCTGTTACTCACTATTCATAACATTTGTGTTTTACTTTGATGCTGGGTGCCCTTTAATATAGGATGTTTAGTGGCCCTTGGTGGTCCCTAGGCAGTACTTGGTAGAACATAGATGACTGTGGGTAATTTCTACGTAAAAGAAATCTTAAAATAGAAGATTTTAACAA